GCTTACCACTGGCGTCATCTAGCTCGTCATTTTGATAATAACAGTAAGAAAATATTGGTTACCGATGGTAGCAATCTCGTATATAACATAAAATACTATAGTGATAAAGTGATTAATCGTTATACAAACTACAATGGCGTTTGACAGTCGAGTTTATCATATTGCATTTTGGTGCACCGTGTCGAGCCAATTTTGACTAACTTTATTTATTATTTTCAGTATCTTTTTAGCCGAAGCCTTTGTTTTGGACACAAAACTGTAGTTTTGTAATAAATTGGCAAAACAGGATTCATACAACCTTCAATAATTATTTCCAAAAAAGCACATTACTGTTATTTTTGTATCTTAATCAGTTAAAAATCGACAACCCACTATATCGAGAAGAGCTCCCACAAAAAAGAGCTCACAGGAAAAATTTAGTGTTAGCTTCAAAACTACAAACTTTTTCATATATCTTACAGCTTTAGGCTCTTGCAAGTTTGAAAAAATATTTATAGTATTACAAAAGCATTCAATCAGATTAAGATAATAATAGCAGCTCAAATAAATTAATATAATATATATTTATTTATGTAGGTAAGTAGGTTAAGCTAGATAGTTTTTAAGTTTGTGTTATTATAATGTTTGATCTTCGTATGAAATAAATCTAATATGAAATATGTCTAAAACCCTTCCAAATATCGATATAAATATTTCTATCGATATTATCAAGATCTAGATATATCGTGGCAACCCTAGCTGCAAGGTCTTGACCGAGCCTTAAGGTAAATGCTATCTTCCGAATGGCAAACAATCGTGCCTCAAAAGGAAAAAACGGAACCCATATAGGATCACTTTGTTGTCCGTCCGTCCGTCTGTCAATGCCGTTTTTCTCAAGAATGCGTGGAGGTATCCAACTGAAATTCATATCTAATACACATGTCTACTGTCTCTTGGAGCTTTTTTTTACAATTTGCTTTATATTAATTTTATAAAATTTTAATATTCACATATATGTGGCGAGTACATTGGTACTTTGTAATGATATGCAAGTGGAAATATTCCAGTGATGTATTTTGTAACTTATGAATAACGATAATTAATACCCTAGCTACACCAACACGAACAAAATCGTACCCGAAACCTGTCCAACCATCCACGGAGCTCCGTAAGATGATCACGTAGTCAAAATCAATATAAGGCATTATTTAAATATTGAAAGTAACCTTTAATACATACTATATAAGGTCTTAAATAAAACGCATGCGTCAAGGACAGTTCGAAATACAAGCTCGTAAAATTTTACGACTTATTGCTATATGCCGAAGAATTCAGACCTTAGTTCTATGACTCTACGCGCAATTCTGAACACGCTGTTAGCAATATAGCAGGCACGGCCCGCGAGGAAAAGAGACGGCCATATGGCGACGTATAACCGACCATACATTTTAAAATCACAAATATTTTATTATACTAGATACCTGTCGAAAAAACGACACTTTTCGTACTCTAAGTATTATTTTCGCATTTTTTCGCGGAGCTCTGTGGCATCTTGACTTTGTAACGGTCCGCGCGTGACTGTGAACCAAGAAGTGCTTGAGTGGAGTTCAAGCACTTCTTGATTGGGACACATTTTGAGCGCTCGTGGTGTATCAAGGGTATTTAATATCGTTGATGTCAGCTTTCAGATCGGTCTACTCGTTCAGGAGTTACGATGCCACAGAACAGAAGTGTTATGTTTTCTGCGGTCTTTCTTCTGTAATTTGTCCGAGGTTACTTCCCCAGCCGGGCGCTCCAATTTGAGCGGCAAATCCACAAGTGCCCTACATCTCTCAAAATGCTGTACATGTGACTTTTTCTATGTAAGTTAATATTCAGTTAGTAGTTATATATTCAGTTCCTTAACTACAATGTTATGAGCGCATAAATACGGTTAATTAAAAAAAAAGGTGTGCCAGGACCACACATCTGAAGTGAAACTTCTCTTGAATAACCTAACATTAGGCGGTGAGGCAAAGGAGAATTGAGGAGCGCACCGCACGCATCATTCACATGCCGGCGTCAATAAAATTGTATCTCCGCGAAAATAACTTTCAAGCATTATTAACCCTTAACACGCGCATGTAATAAATAAACTTAAAGGAAACCCGTTTCATTTCATTAAAAAAAAAAGATTGCCAATTTTGCTCCTCAAAATACCACCATAGAGAACACCAAGAACAACCATGACATTGTGGGTTACCTACAATGCGAAGAGATGGCGCTGTCTTGCAACTTAAGAAAGGTTAGAGAAAATTCGACACGGCCATCAGGGCCGCGGGAAACCTTCTTTACCATATATGCAAAATGGTTTTTCAAAAGGACGCCGACTTTAGATCGCAGGTTCGAAATCTGGCTGTTAGGTTTTCAAGTCAAAGCCGCTGAACAGGTTACTAAATGTGAAATTTAATGACCATTACCTATAAAGCTAAAGAGATGTGTAAAAGTGACAAATTAAATGTCTTTACCAACTTTGAAAGCAAAGAAATCAAAAAGTTGAATGGAATTGTGAATAGCGGGTATTGGGGTTACACACACAAAGTCAAACCATTCATGAATGATATACTTCAATTTATTATACAGGAAATGTTGATCAAAATATAAATCGTCTACCATTCGAAATCAATACGCAGAAACCATAATTAATGTACCTCAAGTCCAGAGTAAACCCATCGCCTGATGAAAGCTACAACTGAAGTGATTGAAAAGTATATACATATTACAAATTTCACTAATTACTTCATAATGATTAATCGCAAGCTGCCGCTCTCACATTCTCTTGGCACTTCATAATCCAATAGAAGCAAATCTGCGTTTCATAAGTTCAAACAATAGCGCCGGTGTAAAGCGTGGTGAAGAGCGTCAAAGAGTCAAAATCGAGAAACTTTCCAGCGGAAAATAAAATTTACGTGATAAAAAAAGCGTCGAACTAAGGTCAGTGAATGACAATTTCGCTCCACACTTTTCCGAGATCTTCAGCCGGTGCTGTCCAAGAACAAAATCGTGTTTATCAAACCAAAATGCTATAGCATAATCACTCAAACGAACTGCGCGTCCAACTGAGTTTTCGAGATGCCATGGTTCTTTTTCATGTGTTTCCTTTTGCTGTTTTGCGTTGCATATCCTTTGCCGCACACGTCGCATTTGTATTTCCTCTCATTGGTGTGCGTAGCTAAATAGTGGCCTAACATGTGCCGCTTCACAAAGAAACCCATGCTGCACACAGAACATTCGTACGGCCGCTCCTTCAAGTGAACACCGCGCATGTGCAACATTAAATTCGATTTCAGATTAAACTTCTTGCCGCAAATGTTACAATTAATTTTTTCCGCATTGTGCATTTGTATCATATGCCTAGTCTTCTGGTAATAATTCTTAAACCTGGCTTTGCATATTTGGCACACGCTGTGACCTGCTATGCCTTTGTGTTCTACGTTGACGTGAGCTTTCTTCTTCGATTCGGCCGCGAAAACTTGCCCGCACTGATTGCAGGGGAAACTAGACTTTTTCTTAACATGCGTCGTCTCGTGTCGACTCAATCTAAAGCTGTTGACGAATCCAGCACCACATGTCGGACAAATGAAATTGTTGTAATGCAAATTCATGTGTTGCGTCAACAGTTTCATGTTGTGGAATGTCTCGTCGCAAATGCAACATCTGATTTGAGCTTCTTTAGTAAGCTTATAAGGTTGAAAGTAGTCTGTTAAGCCTAGATAATACTTCTTGTTGTGAGTTTTGACTAAGTGTTCGGCGAGATGGTTGATTGTATCGATAGAAAGGTCGCAAATCGTGCATTTGAGGTCGACTATATCGAGGAAGGCGACGAAACTCGAGATGCCAGAGCCGGATTTGTACGACGGCTTCTCTCTGACATGGTCGAAATGCGTGTGACTTCTCAATACGTCGGGATCGGGGTACGTTTTGAAACAGTACGCGCAAACGTAGCCCGCGTCATTGCGATCCTTGAATGGCGTCGCGTTGGAGTGTTTCAGCAGGGTGGTCAAATTGTGCCACTGCTTCTGATACTCCGAGAGGTCTTTCTCGTTATACCCTATCACTTCTCCGTCGCCTTCCGTTTTAACAAGCCGTTTCTGTTTTTTCTCACCGCGTTTACCTATAAAAGAAAAACAGTCTTTCACACGCCGTTCTCTTCTTACAACTACAACACAAATCTTCCATTGCGCATGACGTCGCGTCGCAAGTTCGTACCTAATGCACCATATTTTACATTAACTAACACCAATTTGTACGGTTAACGGTACCATCGAAAATAAGTACCTTATTTTAATGGGACTATCACATGATTTCAATAAATGTCAATTAATGTTCCTTTTGCTATTATAGTAAATTTGAAATAGCTAAACGAATAGCCGATAACGCAATGATTAAATAGATCAAAATTAAGATGTTCAGTCAAAAGAAGTCTTTAGAGTGGTAGCGACAGAAATTAGTTTTGGGACGATTAAATAAAATATTATTAAAAGTACCAGTAATGTACAGCAAGCAGGTTTTCCTTAAACACAATAGGTGGTGGCGTCGTCTAAGAATTAAATATAATTATGAACTTTGCCAGTTCATAAAGTTTACACATGTTAGAATCAATAAGGTACCTAGGACAGTTCCCTGAGGAATATACTTCTATTAAACCGTATATTTTACCAAAAGCAACTCTAACATTATGTTACGGTTCAGATACTAAAGTAGAATTTAACCCAATTGTGAGAGGTATTGCTCCTGATAAGGTATTAAAAATATAACATTTGAACTCAAATTTCATGTGTAACAAAATCAAAGGCCTTGCCTGTTTGCCAATTTAATGAGGGGATACCCAGTTTGTTCAATTAAATAATAATTACTTATTATTAACAGCGGATCTGTAGATCAATTCTGCTTAAAATTTTGGGACATTTGTCTCACTTCACTTGACTATTCGTATTTACGAAAAGTAAACTTGACAACAGGCTGTACTCATGCTCTATAAGAAATGAACTTAAGTGGAGAGTATAAATAAAACTGAGGATAACGTAATTACGTTGTGTTAACACACTAGTTTTAAAATTAATCAAAGTGAAAGTTTCTAAGCGTCCTAAAACTATCGTACTAACGTAAAATCATTAAACGGCCTTATTACAGATACAAGACAATACACAACTTTTCTGATTGCCTACCGATGTAAAGATGTAAATCAAACTCTTAAATTGTTAAATATAGCAATTTTATTATAAAACACACATCATTATCATCTGAATAATACAGTGTTGCTAAAACTATAACATGGTTTGAATGGCAATATTACAGTTGCTAAAACTATTAAATTGAAACAATTTTAATAATGATTGCAGAGCACAATAAAATTATATGTAAAATTGACTTGCGAAAATGTATTAAGGTGTTTCCATGTAAAATACAAATAAATTTATTTATCTAGTAATAATATACATATTTCATATCACGAATTTTATGATTCCGACGAAAACAATCGAGAAATTAGTGTATCGCTACCTAAAGTAGGATGATGGTGTAGGTAAACTAATCTATTTATGTGGTCAACAGATCATATCATTTGAATATACATAACACAATAGATCACTTAAAATACTTATTCAACACATTTGCTCAAAAAATGCATATGCGGAGGTTGTGTACATTTTTAGTAAGCTCAAAAAAAATGCACCATACAACAAAGCGTGTGGTAAAAAATTTACCACACACTCCGGTATATGGCACCATGCGTATCCTTTACGGTTTTTTAAATTTCGATCGAACCTCCTTGGATGCGTTTTTGATTTATGTTTGTCTCACTTTAATACTAAAAATAAAAAAGTAGTTCTAATTTTCATCACTAGCACGTGTCGTAATGTGGAAACGCGTGTCATTTTCGTATTAGAAAAAGTTTTGGTTCATTATTTAAAAATTATACTCTTTTCTCGCAAATGTGTTGAAAAAAGGTTGAATGATATTCGTGTGGGTTGGTATTTTCAAACTCGTGACCATGGTAAACCCTCGACTTCCGTCTACTCGTTTGTAATTACCAACTTACCGCACTAATATCATAAATAACTATTATAATGCGCAATATATTTTGATGGGGAACTTGTACTGAGCATATGGTGTCTATGGTTTTTGTAGAATACGAAAATTTTTCATGTGTAGTTAAAATTCACGTCCAGGTAGTTAGCGTTTACGGGCGAACTTTGAAATATCAAATGTTGCTTTACAAAACACTTTTAAACTCGTGAATATTTAGAATGATCTGTTTTGATACTTTGATACTTTATGAAATTCATAAATCTTTAAGGTAGAGTTACAGGTCCCCATTGTATATCAATATTCTATAGCTTTAAATATGTCAATTTTATCAATAAAAAACTTAAAAGATTCAAAACTTTTCTCGAACAATTACATGCATTGATGCCACAGGTCAAATTATCCAAAACTGTTTTTTTTATATATAGCCAGGGAGGCAAATGACTCTACCCCACCTGATGTTAAGTGGTATAAATATAAATTGATATATTTTTTCGATCGATTTTGAGCTATTGTCTGCTTCGATAAGATTCACGATCATTCGATAAAATTTAATAGGTATTACTTACTGCCTGTTCATGTTAATTAACGGTCCTCCAATATTGACTAGTGGCGTTTAATTTGTAGAAAATATAACAATTATAGTAAGTTCGAAGCGAGAATTTTCGCATCCCTGTAACGACGGGAATGCAAAGTGACCCATAGAAGTTTTTATCACAGTCAGTCGAAAGGCGTCACGCTACATAAAAATTTACGTGAAACCGAATTTATGATCGTATATGTCCGTAGACATGCCCATAGAGAATGGATGGAGCGACAATCGCGTAAATATGACAAACTAGAAGCCGCCGGCGACTTCCGTTTAAATTTAGTTTTTTGAGAATTCCACAGGCACCTGACATTTTTCAATCTAGGTCATGAACTATGAATATTAAATCTCATTAAAATCTGTTCAGTATTTTTGCGTGATTGAATAACAAACATACAAACTTTAAAGGGATAGAAAGAACGATACGAACTATTATTATGCTTATCTGCCCAGATTTACTTTATAGTTGGACATGGGAACGCGCAGTACAACCGTTCTCTATGTCCATGTTCATGCTTTACTGGATACAACTTTATTGTGGAACTGAAGATAACTACTCTATTAAAATTCTAGTTGTTTAAAAAAGATCATCAAGCTTTATCTATTAGTAGCGGGATTTCACGATGACTTAAAAAATAACAGGAGCTTTATAATCAGAAATGAAAATTAAATGTTCAGTAACGTCAACGAACTAGAAATTATAGGGAAGCATTATTCTCATATAAAGGCCGCTAACCATAGTTCCATCTCCTACAACTAAACTTCAAAACTAACGTCAAATCAAATATCTGCAAAAGAATTCGGCTATCCATTCATGGGGTAAAATAATGTTAAACGGAAGTTCCAACCAATCCCATGATAGCAGTTTTTAAGCTCCGCTCACTTGATTGCAGTTTGCGTGGAACCACATTTTAGTGGAGTTCGTCTTCCATATCAATTTATATGAATTTTCATGGTTAATTGTAAAATAATATATACGTTATTTAATTTTCAAAGTACGAGCTGTGCTTAGTTTGGAAGGACCAAATAATTGATATTATTATAATCATTCTTTATTTCTATTCGTCGATATCATTTCATATTCAATAACAATTAATTGCCCTAATACCAGAAATTCAACAAATATTCCAAAAACATTTTGTTTGCTTGTCATAAAATATTTTCCATTATTATTATTTTTCATACTTATTGCAACATTTCTCACTTTTGTAACGAAATAGACTACAATTTGTATTGTTCTTTCATCTTTTCCGCTTGCTTCTTCTTCTTATTCTCATTAGCAATCTGATTTAAGGTCATCTCTCTATTATCTATCAAATGTTTCACATCCTCAAACTCCTTGAAGATGTCTAAGTTGTCCTGGTGCAATTTGAGATGATTCTTCAAGCTGCATTTCTGCGTGAAAGTCTTCATGCAAACTTCACATTGGTATCTCTTATCATCCTCATGGAACCTCATGTGTTCTTTCAGAGTTCTTAATCGGAAAAATCTCTTCCCGCATACATCGCAGGCAAACGTTTCACTGCCCGTATGCCTCGATAAGTGATCCACTAAGCCGCGCTTGGAAAAGAACTTCGCGTTGCACTGGTCGCACAGAAAACTCTTCTGTTGCAAATGATGGTGTTTTATATGCCTGTTGAGTTCAAACTTTTTCTTGTATGTCTTATTGCATGCGTTGCAAGGGTAAATTATCGGTTTTTCGTTGTGCTCTTTAACTAGATGTTCGCTTCGGTCGTAGTAGCTGACGAATATTTGAGGACAGTGAGGGCATTTGTTACGCAACCATCCACCAGTGTGAACGCCTTTTTCGTGATTCCTCTTCTTGGTTAGGGACGTGTAAGTTTTATCGCAATAATCGCAAGGGAATATACCCTGAGCGTGCGTTTTCCCGTGTTTCCTCAATGCCGCTATAGTAATGTACCCAGCGCCGCATTTCTTGCAACAATAATTCCGGTAATGACTGCTCATGTGGTGGTAGAGGTTTTTGAAGGATATGTGGACTACGGAGCAAATGACGCACGTAAAATTCTGGCCATTCTCCAAACGAAAAGGTAGTATTATGTCTTTAATGTTCTTGTGTATGAATTTATTGTGGACCGCCACCAGATGGTCTTTGAGATCGCTCAAGTCTTTCATCTGCGTATCGCACATAGTACACCTTAAGTTAGTTATGTCCAGTTTTATAGGGTTGTAGCTGAGTTTATAGTCGATCATCGAGTTGAGTTTGTCTTTTTCCGATTGTTGTGCAGTGTGCGTTCGTAGTTCGTCGATGCTAGGGAAATACTTGGCGCAGTAGAGGCAGGAGAAACCACGGATCGTCTTATCTCTGAAAGGGCTAGCGTTGGAGTACTGTAAGATGGCGGTTAAGTTTACCCTGTGCTCTACGCGCTCTGGTGTTGCGCTTTCATCGCCTTTCTTTTTCTTTTTCCTGCGCTTGGGCGGTTCTCCGTCCGTTCCTATAACAAGAAACGAGCACATCTCATTATCTTGGTCCAGTCTACGTCTTCTTAGTTAACGTTAAGTCGTCTTCGTGTGGTATTCTTCTTTGATTAACGTGCTTATTATCAGGGATTGCAAATTTGAAACTCTTATTTTATTTTATCGAGTGGTTATAATTCATTTAAGTTGTTCATGAGAATAAAGTGTATAAAATTTTGTGTCGCTTTCTTCCGATAAGCGGTACAGTCCCGTAGCATGAGCACCATAATTTACATTATATCACGTTTTCCATCGTGTCTAACTGTCAAACTCCATAGTAATTTGACAATTGAGCATGATAAAACCGCGTTATATATCATATTGCAGTGCTTATGCTAGGGGGGGCAGGTTAGGTTTTATGACATATTAACAAAATTTTATTTTATGCGACAGCGTTAATATGTAACATTAGAGTAAATGCATTATAGTAAATCTATAATTTTAACTTCACAGTCGGATTGTCACAATTAGTGTCACTCTGGAACGTAAAGTGACAAGTGAACGTGAAGTCTTCTAATATCCGAACCGAAAGCAGTTTTAAGCAAAGGTGTAAACGGTAGTTCCTTGAACAACAATAGGAGGCGGCAAGTACAATATATGATGCTATTTAATTGCTGCAGTATTTTAAACTAAATTATTGTCTCGACTTGCTGATGTTGTCCTAATTTTTTTTTTTTAGAATATAATAATTATGAGATGGCGGCAGAATACCAGCGACAAGTCGAAACTTGACTGTCACATGCTGAGCCACATACCTTTTTCTTACAACTAAAATTTACTGTCATTCTATTTGTGTATTGTACCAATTGTATGTTGCAACAAATAAATAATTTATTATTATGATAAAGAATTATGCGAGAATTCACATCACTTTTATAAGCCGTTTAAACCAAAATGTATGAGAAAATTGGGTAAAAATACAATTTTTAAGTGCCAAACAGACAAAAGAAATAAGACCTAATAAGGAAAATATGTATTAGAGCAAAAACTTAACAGAAGGTTTATAAGTTTTTTCTTGATCAGTTGCGTTTTCTCTTGTGAGAACCACCACAGTCAGCACTCTCCTAGATTTGTATTCAAATATTCCCATTCATCCAGAACTTGGTTCGATTTGTTTTACGCTTTTTCTACATGAAAAAATTATATCACAATAACCTATTAAAGGTCACTTGGTATATTCCAACAATCATAAATCAGCATATTAGTTTGTCGCAGTAGTTGAGTTTACTGTCATCACATAGTGGTATTAAAGAATAGAGTCCTTGAGAGCGAAATAACAATTACATACTTTATATTTTTTCCTTTTCAGAGGACATATTACGCGACCTAGCTCCGGTGTATTCGTTGTTGAAGGTAGATTTAACGAAAGTATACATTATTCTTCAAAAGATTCTGCAGCACGAAGGCACAGAATCAATAACTTGTACGTAGTTTAGGTACTACATACGTATGAGAAAAAAAGATATTATTTTGGATATCACACAAAAAAGCATGCGATCGTAATCTAAATACCAAAACTTGAAAATTTATGCATAGAAGACGCAGAAGTCGATGTATAGTGAAAATTATGCTAAAAATATATCAGTCATAAAAAATGGGACCTAATATGCAGCCCAGGGAGACACCCATACTGAACAAGGACTTTACTAATACAAATCATAAGGTTAAACGGACTTGTATGAGTCGCAACGCTAAGTAAATAACACTTTCATTGTTTTAAAGAAAAAATAATTGTTTTCGTGTAATTCATTGGGTAAATTGAGGAGCTCCATAGAATCCAAAGCCTTATACAAGTCATAAATACCAAAGATGAGTAGGTCACTGGCTAGTAATTCGAGCGCCCGTCTGGGAAGTAGCATAGAAGATCGCAGGTAACTATTATATATGTCGTTTTGCAATGAGAAAAGTTTCTAAAGCGAGGTAGGGCGTAGCAGATATTAACATTACAGAAGACCACACCTATTGGTGGTATTGTTTTGATAAGCTAAGGTCTTAGGCCTTTACGTGGTAGGGGTTATTAGGCAACACGTAAGTAATACTCTGATATCAGTAGCGTCAATATTCTATGGTGGCTTACTATCAGGCGGGTCATATGTTTGTTTGTTTCCCACATCAGGAAAGTCAACTGCTTTCTCAACTGGATTCTTCATACACTTAACTTCAGGTAGAGAAGAGTAATTTGCTGGGTCTATATTTACGTTTAATTACGATTTCACTACCAACACTTTTCTATGCATAAATTTGCAAAGCACATTATATTTTTACACTATCTACATCAGTTGGTTACAGAATACCTTGACGGCGCAAAAACTATATCAAAATCACGAAATGATATCAGTTATATTAGCATCCATAATACATAAAGAAAATATTACTAGAAAAAATTCGAGTGGAATTTTTTCTTTAGATTTAAGCATCGAGCAGTTAAATGCTTAAAAAAATAATAAATATACATCCATAATACACATCTGCAACCCCAAAACAAAAAATCGCATTTACATTTAACTCTCATGCTTCGGCCGCGAATTGTATAGTTCCGAAGTCATGCATGCCGAAGCTTCGTACGCTTTGACCCTAAAAAAATATCGCGATAAGCCATGTGATCACATAAGCAGCGTCTATATTTTGTTTAAACTGTCGTGCGATAAATTTCCAGACGTTGAACTATGGACGACAACTATATTTATTTCTACATATGTGCTAACGATTATATAATGCATTTATTAAAATATTAAAGCTTCATAGTTGTGGAGTAATTCCAGCACCATTTCATCGCTAACTTAATTTTACTATAAAGATATCGTATAGATTTAGCCACCCGCACGCGTCTGAACTAATCGGGATGAACCGCTTTAATGAACAACGCTAGTCTGACCACGCAGCGCGTTTAGTTAGCACACACAAACCCTTTGATGCTTCACCCACACCTGCGCGACGAAGCCTTGGGCTCTGGTATTAATTTCGCAAGAAATTAGTGTTCCAAAGGACACGGTTCAAATTTGTATGGAGAGTGGTAGTCAGTCTCCGGTAGACTCCAAATTTTTATGACATGTGCACTTAATTGTAAATCGTTTGACGAAAAACTAGTTTTTTTTTATTCCCGGTCTTTTTTTAAATAATAATTGAGGAGCTGACGAACAAAACTGTATAATTACATAAAATTAAATTTTACAGGAGCTGTATAAAACTGAATAACATACCTACAGTGAGCTTTTGGCATGGTTTTTAATTTATAAATTTAGTAATTTTAACACTGTTTTAGGCGGTTTTGACCTCCGGACAGTAAAAAAAATGTAGTTTGACCAGATGAGTACCGTTTTGTTCGCCAGCTCATCAATTGTTATAATTTAAAATGCCTTAGTTACTGTTTCGTAATTGGCAAGCTTTTTTATGTAATGTTTGTAGCCAAAGCATCAAATATATTCTATTCAATAGGTAACTAAAGCAGTGATAATAATACTTTTCATCTCTCATGTTATCAGCAATTTTTTGGGTATTGAATTTCAAGAAAAATCAATCAAGAATTTATAATATGATTTCACTACATACTAAAGTATTAGCCCGCCGGCCCTGAAAATTTGTATAATTTATAGTAAATTTTTCAGATACCAGCCGCGCTGCCGTCGGTAAGTAGTATCTGTGAAGTTAGCCGTTTATGAGTACAAGTAGATGAAGTTAGTTGAATATTGTACATTGGTTATTTCAAATTAGCCCGCTTTTATTGAGACAACTTAGCGATCGCAGCGCCTCACTTATTTTGTCCATATTTCTGGGACCCTTTTTTCTACAGCGATCGTTGTCCTTCTCTCTAACCTCCATGCGCTAGACGATGGCTTGACTGGCGATAATTTGACACGCTAAACGAGGTTGTGGAATACGATAAATTTGTAAGTGCAGCTGAAAGAGCATACTTAATTCAAAATTTTAATTTTAGCGCACTACCAAAGCTTTTTCACGTAAGTGTGGGATACGCATTAGCGACCCGCAGCCCGAATGTTCGCTACGATAGCCGATAATGGCTGATCACACCTTCGCGTATCGTGTCATAGCACGAAGTTTTATGGCGATACACGCAAGTACGGCCCCAGCATTAGAACTACCTAATTTCGAACTATGGAGGTATTCTGTAACCAATCAGAAATCAGGTCAGGGGAAGTGTGCAAACCAGTCTTCTGACTTTCTCAGTCTATGAATATTTTTATCACATCTAAATTGATTTTTACAGACAACAAAATGATCTACTAAATCGTTCGTTACAATATTAAACCTAAATGCTATGTTAGTATATGTATATTATACATTGAAATTTAATTTAGTGGACTGAATTTCGGGTCCGAAATAAAAGGTTATTATTATTGTAGGCCAAAGTTCATAGTAACTATCCTATTAATTTGACCGGTGGACTCTGTAGTTTTTTTGTTCAATAAATTAGAATGCACTATTAGGCTATTTTAAAAGTTTTTGAAAACGTTCTTAATTACTAATTATTATTGTGACTCCATAAAAAGGAGCTACTTATAATAGATGTATATCAGTCAAAAAATGGTTTTTAAATATGCCGCAGAATCTTTTCTTTCGTGTCATTAAAACGTAAAACAGTACAAAGTATATACTATTGTAAGAAGAACCCTCTCTTACGTCAGCAACTACCCCACCACTTCGCCTATAAAAGCAAGGCGCTGGGGGTAGAACGCACCATTTGTCGCTCTGCGCTCGGACTGGACGGACGTGTGAATCATGAGCTTGTCGTAAGGTTACGTAAGCCATTTGAGTTTAGTGATAAAGTGTGCAGTGTTTTGTTTCGTGGATTGTGGACTGTAAGTTATTTTGTTGATTGTAATTTGAGTCAATTGTAATTATGAAGTAAAAATGGTTTTTTGTTGTAAACTGTTTTTTTTTAATTGAATTTCCACTTCTGAAGCTTACACTATTATATCCCTTCCGCAGGATGTTTACAAGCAGGTGACGTCATTTTAGTCTTAGCCAACCCTATGCGTTTTGGGCCACGTGTCAATGGAACAAAAAATATTTTTCTATTCCACGATTTTTAGTTATATTTTCAAATCTACTATTTGTCAGTATAGTGAAATCTCCCCCAATATTTATGTTTAAAATAAGTACTTTATTTTTCACACAGTCAAATAGTCTGTTGTAAGTAAAATAAATAAATAATATTTCCAACACTCACGCCAATTAGCCTAGCCCCAAAGTAAGCACTGTAAAGCTTGTTTTATGGAATACTAGGGTAAAGGACAGAATTCATATACTGTACGTATAAGTATATCTATTTAGTAATACATATTAAACATCCATGACTAGAGTACAAATGCTTGTATTCTCGGCTACGGAATTCGTCAACGTACACAATTTTCTTGAAATTTCAACGGAAATTTAAACACAGAAATCAATATATCTTTATTCAAATTGGATGTTTAATGCGATTCAAATAAGAATAGGAAAGCCAACGACCTCCATCTGTCAAATGTCGCTTGAAAAGTACGGTTTGCAAAAAAAAACTTGGTAACCTTTTTCAGCACACTGCTAATTCTAGAATAAAAACCACACATTTGTAAAAAAACAATAACAAATATTGAAAATTAATATTGGTTGATTGTTTTTTTCGTTTATTGAGCTTTGGCTATGAATAGTTGATAACCTAAGCCGTCAACTAAATGTCACTTTAAGTTGCGTTCAGAAACCCAATTTAAAACTTTCGTTTACCTAGCCTAGAGGATGTTCGTATGTGACCTAGTAATAGTGTATGATTATTCATAACTACCCCGGCGGTAATGCAGAGATGAGCGGAATTGAAGAGCTAGATTCTGATTTATGTTTTTTCGCAATCTTAGTAAATATTTTAATAAAAAAATCTGATGTTTTTTCTCACTTAATCTTTAGTTAGAAGTTTTATTAAAGAAAATCTTTTTTTTGCTCACTCTACTTATTTGGTTTGAATTGACAGCTATGACGTCAAAATATGGCGCCCAGTCGGTCCTATTCTTAGTTGAATCGCATTATACGAGTATAGTACAACTCTTTTAAATCGTCCAAACATATTTTTTTTCTACCTTCGTTATTGAAGAGGGTTTGCACACTATCCTGACCATGGTAGTAGTAATGGTAAAAACTTACGTTTAGAAGATTCTGCATTATCGTTCTCGCCTTTCAGTTTCGCCTTCTTGGTTCGCGCGGCTGTGGCCCTGGTGCGTTTTTTGCCTTTAACCTCCTCCGATTCAGTTTTCACGGGCACTTCAAATTCTGCCGAAGAAAATCGTGCTTAAAAAATACTTTCTTTTTTTAAGGTTTTCATTATTCTATTTTAAGGAGGTAATTGGGCCAGGGCGGATTTTCCACTCGAATTGGATTCGCTAAACGCTAACTATGACGCGGATGAAGCGCGGGCAGAAGTTGGTCCATAATAATATTATAAATGCGAAAGTATGTTAGTCACTCTGTTAAATCTGCACGCTTAAACCGCTGAATCGACTTGGATAAAATTTGGCATTTATATAGTTTTGAGTCCTGATAAAGGACGTAGGATGGTTTTTATCACAGAACAAATTAAGAGGTTAGAACGTTGATACTTTGTACAGGATTTCGCCTGCTCACCCCAATTACACTTCCATCTAATAGATAATAGCCAATCAAACAATCGATCCAATCAGCCCTAACACCCGCGAGAAACGACGCAATCAGAACCAAGTTTTGGTCAAGTTATGAGCATTTGCTCCCACATAACTGTGGCGCGCCTGCCCCGGCTCTTCTAGCCTGTGTTCTGTGGTTTTTGTCATAATGTTTTTTTTAGTTTCTGGTTTCCTCCCTGCTGAAATCTGATAGACAGTTAGTCCACATTCTTATCAACCTCGATTTGACTACTTAATGTCGGAGATCTCTCTCCTTTAAAAGAGGTCTAGAGACAGCATTGCCAGATTTTTTTTTGCCAACTCGGGATTTAGAAACTTTTTGAGTTAAAATGCGGGATTCTTTCGTCGAAAGCGGGACATAGTAAAAAAAACGTATACAATCAAAAGTTATTGAATGTTTATCTTCATTACGCGCCGGGCAGGCGGCCAATCCACACTTATCAGTGCCACTCTAGTTCAAATTATACTCTGATTAAAGACTAAAAACTGTTGTGTTATGTAAACACAACTTTTTTTATTGTTTTCCTATGTCGAAATCTCTCCCCTGCCCGTTCTACCCTGGCCATTTACAAAGTATGTTAATATGAATAAATAAACTTAAAGGGACTTTAATAACAATACACGTGTTAAATCAATAAATTCCAACATTTCTCTTGGCCGCATCTTCAATGAAACCAGAAACTTTTTTGTAGTACACCGGATTTACCTAAGGAACTTTACCAGGGGACCAATCGCCTAACGGAAATGCTGTGGAAAACGCTAACGCTTACGATTTTATTTTGTTATTTCTAGCCGCCTGAGGTATTCAAATGCCTCGCACTCTTTCTTTTTCTTTTGCATTAGTAATAAGAATATTAAAAAAAATGAGCGTGAGGTATTCGAAAACCCACTAAGTGGTTAATAATCCACCATTATTAGACACTAACATTCATAACGCGCCCGCGGCCAACTTCATGGTGTTACTATTGTGTTACAGTGATGCGCGCGCATCTCGAAATTTCACTCACATGATTTTTTCATAACGCGCCCGCGGCCAACTTCATGCTGTTACTTTTGGGTTACAGTGATGCGCGCGCATCTAAAAATTTCACTCTCATCATTTTTTCATAACGCGCCTAAAGAAGTATAACTTCAAAAATGATCGTCATGATGTGGAACATACGTGGCCTCCGGCTTCGTTAAAGGTTTTTTTACACCCTGTATAGTTATCAACCAGAGCAGTAGTCAATTTACCTGGACCGGAGAAGTCGTCTGAAAGGTTGTTGTCATTGTTATCTGAATGGTGGTCATCTTCATCTAACATGTTGACTTCCACTTTCACTATGTTATCTGCAAAGAATAAATATAGATATAATAAATTGCCAATCGCTTCATATCAGGTTACATACTCTTGAAACATTTGAGAAGAAGGATGATGAAATCACTTGATTGAAAATTTTTGTGTTACTTGATGAAGTTATTTCATAAAACACATTTCTTGTGTAATGATAATATATTCTATGCGGACCAGGCAGCAGACGGGACTCGAACCCGGGCGAATGCACTGACCACGTCATCTCTTCGCATTGTAGGTAACCCACAGTGCACTGCCTTGCAACTTAAGAAAGGCTAGAAAGAATTCGACATGGACATCAGTGTTTGTAGCATAATGGTCAGTGCATTCCGGATAGCGAAGGGTGCTGGTTCGAGTCCCGTCTGCTGCCTGGTCCACGTGGAATTTTTTCTAGTTATATTTTCTTTAAATTTAAACATTGAGCAGTTACATGCTTAAAAAAAAATATGGCATTTCTTATGTTTTCAGTCTGATACATCTATTATGTCGAGTTGGATTAGTATGTAAAGTGGTTAGCGTATTCGGATAATAATAATAATAATAATAAATATTTCCAACACTCACACCAATTAGCCTAGCCCCAAAGTAAGCACTATAAGGCTTGTGTTATGGGATACTAGGGTAACAGATAGAATACATATACTGTACATATATAAGTATATTTATATAGAAAACACATATTAAACATCCATGACTGGAGTACAAAAGCTCGTATTCATCACACAAACATCTGCCCCCACCGGGATTTGAACCCAGGACCTCCCGAGTCGGTGACACCATGAAACCCGGCGTACAAACCACTCGGCCACGGAGGTCGTCATAATTATTATTACGGATAGGTGGCCAATAATTAATTTTGCTCTGGGATTTGGAAGAAACATTGAGCGATCGGTCCAAGCTGTATTTGCAGTTATTAGCACAAACTAATTCGCATTGGAAGATTAGGTCACATTCCATTGATAGGGAAGAACTGCGCAGGAACACTAGCGGCCTAAATTTATACAGTATCAATAAACTGGATATTGTATGAAAAGATTGTGATTTTGGTGTTTTCATACTTTTAAACATGTTATCATTGATTCTCTTCTTGAACTGCTCTTCAGTGATCTGGACTTGCTTCTTGAAGTTGGCAGCGCTACGTAGTTGCGTGATGCAGACCTCGCAAATGCCACCATCATGACTCTCTGCGTTAACCAACTGCAACAATATGATCATATTTAACAAATAAATGACAACAGACATAACGCTGATTGGCAAACAGCAATAAGGTACAATTCCGCAAAGGGCTGCAGGCGACACTGAGGCTAGCGCCTGTGGCTGACCGTGCATTATATGTATTGTGCAGCCGCGGTATGTCGCCGCACTCGGAATCGCTTTCATAGAGATTCATAGAAACTAGTAGTGTCGCCGCAGGCGCTAGCCGCAGTGTCGCCGCAGGCGCTAGCCGCAGTGTCGCCTGCAGCCCATTGAGAAATTGTACTTATAATGTGAATAAAAACACTTTCCTAATAACAATAAGAATCAACTTCACAAAAACACACACACTAAAATAAAAGGTAATAGAGGATAAGTAATAGAGATGGGCCGACAAGCCGCCGACAGGTCGGGAAAGACGACTATTCGGCATCGTTTATAGTCGGCGATTAGTCGGCGACTATTCAGCAAAACATGCCGATTATAATCGGCACATGTATAATAATGAAATAATACTAGAAACTAATGTTTGTTTTGAATATTTAAACAGTACCTAGAGTATGTACCTATTTAAAGTTACCTACGTCTTAAATTATTAAAAAAAATAAAAAAACCTTAGAGGAAAGGTTTTGGGAGACTCGTGTAGTGCGTGAGCAAGCTGAGTAGTGACGAAATATTCTGAACATCTTCCTAATATAGGTATTAGAATGATCGGCATTGCAGAATATTCGGCCGACTAGTCGGCAATGCGAAAACCGATTAGTCCGCTAGTCGATTAGTCGGCAAATACTATAGTCGGCCCATCTCTAATAAGTAATATTAAAGTTTTTAATATTTATGTGCTGTAATAATAATCATACATCATTTGAAAATTGAAAATACAAAGAGTTGAAGTTGTTAGCAATCAATAGATTAACTGTGTGGGTGCCTGGTCTATTGTGTAGTAGCGAGAAAAGCTCCGAGCAGTTTCCAGGACTTGTGACCCAGGCTGTAGGTTTATGAAGGCCCCCCTTTGAGATGCTCATCAATGGTGGGCGTTCACTGCCAGAGTTGTCCACTCTACCTAGCCAAATTTGATAGGAACCTGTTACTGCAGCCTTAATGACTCGTTCCAAAATTTAACTTACTAGAATTCTCTATAGGCCTAGGTCTTTTAGACGGTTATAGAGAGATGTTGCTGGTGAGGTATCGCTCCTACTTCTACTGCATATAAATTAACTAGATAGGCATTTTTAGTTAGTTCATTGGTTAGATCGTAATACTCATTCAATTTTACTGTGTGGTCTTTTGGAATATTAGTTTCCCACAGTACACTAAGCTCTATTAATACTATACAGGTGGTCCAATTAGTGACGTCAAATTTTTTTTTAGATTCCTCGCACCTAGGGGTATCTGAAAAATTTAATTATTTCTGCCAATGAGGTTTCAAAAATTCATATCTTTTTTCATAGTAAGTATGTTGCAGTCTTCTTTTTGTGATATAATTGTCTTGAATGTTGTTTTAATAAAAAAAATAACTCATGAAATTACTTAAAGTTACTCAAAAAAGGCTTGAAAGTTAGAACTTTAGTTTTTAGTAGGATTTACTCAAACATCAACTTCAATTTAAAAATACAAAAAGGAGTTTCTATAGCTTCTGGCTATAATTAAAAACTCCGCATGCTTCTATACTACCAATTATCATAAAAAAAATGTACTTAATCAGACTATTTTTGTTGTTGTAATTGGCCTTTGAAGGCGGATAGGCTAAAAATCATTGAAACTCCTTTAAAGCATTAAAAATTATTTTATCTACTTTTTATCATTGCTAGGGTAGATGAAACTTAAAAATGTAATTTTAAATTAAGTTTAATTGAAACTCCTGTAAAATAACTTTAGCATGTGAAATTTTATAATAATTTAAAACATCCCACTAAAAACTAAAGTTCCAACTTTCAAGCCTTTTTTGAGTAATTTTAAGTAATTTCAGGAAGCTGAGTTATTATTTTTATTAAAACAACATTCAAGACAATTATATCACAAAAAAAAGACTGCAAAATACTTACTATGAAAAAAGATATGAATTTTTGAAACCTCGCTGGCAGAAATAATTAAAAATACACAAAAAATATGATAACTCCATACTAAGAAAATTCACGGAACATACAATATACAATCGGATTCACTAATCATACCACCCTGTATGTTTGAGTGCCTAGAAAAAAGGAAAATGTCCAGCCTGGATGCTGAAACACCAATATTCTCTGGTACTTTTTAGTGCTTTTGATACGTATCCATTAAAATAGTCCAGTCAGGTGCAGCACCTAGGGTTGAGAAAGGCTTGCTTTTTGAGTTAACCTTTGACCCTTCCTTTATTAAAGTTATTTTTTTTATTTGTGGTTAATCCTTATTGGGCTCTAGTCACTGCAAGACTTGCTGCTTTAAGTATGACTTCCAATGTGGCGTTCTTTCTTATCATGGTGACGTGAGTATTGACACCTATCAAGGAGCACCTTGCAACCTACCAATATGTGCCTAGCAGTACCTATTGCCTCACCGCAAGTATAGCATGATTTTTCAAAGGCTTTCCCCCATCTTACTCTGGTCTGGGAAGGTCATTTGGAACGCATTGAGATAGAATTTTAGTAGAACAGGAGACCAATCATGTAGTTAAGGGCACTTCAGAGCTAGTGGAATGCAGAACTCGTCTATGGTGAACCACTCAGTTTGCATTTCTGAATTCATTGTGTGTACTTTTTATTTTATATTATCATTATTTATTTTCGAAACCTGCCTGCAGTGTTTGTGTTTTGCAACTTTATATATAAATTGTAGTTTATACAAAGTCCATGTTTTAATCAGGATTTTAAATATCTTAATGAAAATATCCCTACCCAGGATACAGTCCAGAAATCTGCTTTCGGTTCACTTTTTGTCTACCTATGTAGCATTGATATTATAAGTACACCTACAGTATATACATATGTCGTAACGAAATTATTATAACGTCTGTATTTATCTAACATTAACATCCAAAGTTTTATAAGGTGGAGAATGTTAACGCAGCTGCGGCGATTATTAAGCGGCAATTTTAAAAATGCAATTCCATTACAATGGTTATAGATGAAAAACAAATGTTCAACATACATTGACGTTCCATTGGTAGCCATTACGATAGTCCTTCCCAAATTGTGGCTAATGGAAAACTCATATATGAAATAATATTCACGTTTCCATTGTTTACGTATACACAACATTGATTCTAAGGCTCTATAAAAGGTTTACTCACATTGATATCGAAGCATTCCCGTAGCATTTCAGCGTAAATCTCTTCTTCACCCATCCAAACATATTTGGAAGAAATGTCTCTAAAAGAGCCTTCTGAAGCGCAACACCGGCACATCCCATTATTCAATGTACCCGCCATTGTGTTCACTATCACAATTTTTTCAACATCACTAATTAAAAATATTTACGCCTTCTGTACAAATTTCTTTTGTTGGAACGACGCTAGACACTTCGCTGTAAAGCATCCACCGCCATTTTGTAAGAACCACGGATGGAGGCAGTGTGACCAGAATAAATTTTATGAAAATACCGAAGCACCTCAAAAAATACTGAAATTACCAAGTCGGTTCAGTTTTTTTATAATTATATTTTACAGTAGGGTTGCCAACCCTACTGTAAAATATAATCATTATTCAAAATTCACGTGATTGGAAATGACAGATGGTAATGTCAGAGTGTATTTCTGGAGGTACGCGGTTCTGGTAGAAACTAATGCACGAAACGACCATAGAACTGACTAGACTTTATTGCTCAGAGCCATAGAACGACCAAGTTGCGATAACTAGCTGTCAAACAACTATTATTCCAAGGTTTGGAAAGGCCATTGGGTAAAAAGTTACACTCAGAGCGAAGTTCTGAACGCAGCTCAGACAAAAAACGATCGAGCGGGGTTAGCGTCGCTAGAAACATGTTAACTTCTCGTGTCATGGCACGCCAGAAGCACATTGGTTTCACAACATTTACTATGGTTAGAGATTTACGATTGTTATTTACATATCGTGTCGTGTCGATGCTCTAACCTCTCTCTCTCTCTAACTCATAATAAATGTATGAAACCAATGCGTCACGACATGCCACGACATCGACTCGTTAATATGTTCTGGCTTCATTTTAATTGTTCTTTAATTCGTTCATAGTTATATATTGCGTTCATAGTTATGTGTTACAACCTTCTCAGTAATTGAATAATAAGTGAAATCTTTAAATTACACGCTATTCCGGTCAAGTGGACATGAGAACTTTATTTTGAGTGTTGACTAGGTACATCAAAAAAGCTAATCGAGAAAGAACACTGTAAAAACATTAGAATTTGTCACACCCACATTGAAAAAAACAAACATTAATAAAACTGAACGCTAAGCTGTTTGGGCATTGTTCCCTTTGCCATTCCTGAAAAAGGGAACGAAAAAACAAATAAACGATAAAAAACAGGGCTGTATGAACTCAGAATCCTTTGCCCGTCCCAAGAGGGACAAAATGACCAAAAAAAAAAACGTTACGATCTGTCAACTGTCAGGGTTGCTATTGCTATTCTCTCGGCAGTGTGACCAGATTCAGTATTTTAATACTTTTTCAGTATATTTCATCGATTTTTCCGAACATCAGTATATTTTCAGGTATATTGCAGTCTGTCAGTATTTTTGGGTATATTTTGGTAGAAGTTATAGCAACACCATAGTGAGTGATCGTCTTTGCGACAATGTTTGCGGAATTCCCCGGAACGCGAACATTGGGGACTTCCCCGGATTTAGTTTACCGATACTTATACATGTTATCTATGTGTAAGTTACAGGTATGACAAGAAAGACGGCCGTTGTCGGCGTTGTAGTATTGTAATACTACATATACAATTATCAATCAATACATAGTATTAATCGGACTTGCAGAATGTATGTTCGCCTAAAACTTTACAACTGCTGGACCGATTTTAATGCGGTTTGCACTATTGTATTAGATAGAGCGTGAAGAAATGAAGGAGGTTGTGTAAATTTTAAAAGGATGTTAAAATATAACTCTAATATTTATTGTGAGTACGTATGAATAAAGAAAATGTGTTAAGAAAATCAGTATTTTTATTGGTATATCTGTCCTATGTAAGTCGGTATATTTCAGTATTTTTTTGAGGTGCCTCGGTATTTTCGTAAAATTTAATCTGGTCACACTGTCTCTCGGTTGGTTTTGTGTTTTAATTTCCGAAGAATTTCCAAAGAAATATTGTAATATAAGTGGTAAAAACACACATAATGTCTCTAGATATGTCGTGTCAGTGTTGCTTATTGCGGCCACCAGACAAAGATTTGAAATCCACTTATAGAATGCTTGGAAAAACAGAAGTTTATGCTGATATGCTGAAGGAATGTTTTGAGATACATGTAAGGCATTCTGTAATTATTTATCTAGTTTATTTATGTTTCATCGGTTCTTACGTTCGTGCGACTGCTTTTGAACGCATTTTATCAACATTATAATGTAGAATATTATACAAATTCCATAAAACAATTTGAGAAAAACTTCATAGAACTTTCAAGTAGAGAATTTAGCAGTTAACTAACTAACTATTTATAAACTAAAATTGTGTATGATAGAATTCCTTAATAAACGACTGAAAAGTTTCTAGGTGTACCAGTAAGTCTGTTTTTTAATGTTATTCTTAATTCTTTTCTTTGATATTTGTTTTACATTTAGCAGTTAACTAAATGTCCTTGTTACTTTACTTATGTCTTTTATATAGCATATAAGCACATTCACACTACCGTTAATACTCAATGCTGAGAGCACTGGGACTGGAGCACTACTTGAGATTTTGTTATAATTTGATGATATAATCATTATTTTCCTGCCCCTAGCATGAACAACGTAATATGATATTTAGCTCATTTTTAATAAAAAAAACGCCTTTTATTTACCATATTTGAACTATCTTACACAATTTGTTAATCTTATACACACTAGCGGCCCGCCCTCGCTTTGCTTCGGTGTAGAGCTGAAGTGTAGGATTCAGTTTTTGTTCTCAGGCTTGTATTGTACACAGTGACATTCATCTATGATTCTTCTTATACCTGCATGCAAAGTCTCAGCCCGATCAGTTTAAAATTGACAAAGTTTCATATAAACTTTCATTCCCTATTTTATCCCCTTGGGGGTAGAATTGATCAAAATCCTTTCTTAGCAGATGCCTACGTCATAACATATCTACCTGCATGCCAAATTTCAGCCCGATCCGTCCAGTGGTTTGGGCTGTGCGTTTATAGATCACTATGTCAGTCAGTCACCTTTGAGTTTTATATGTATAGATATTTGAACTATCTTACACAATTTGTTAATCTTATACACTAATAATTATGGTCTCCTGAAAGGGTGAAAGCCTCCTGCATTTCCTCCCATGCGTCCCTGTTGCTGGCTTTCTTGGTCCAGTTCTGACCGGCTACGCTGACTACGTCATCTACCCATTGTTTGTATGGTCTGCCAACCTTCTGTTTTCCTGTGGGTTCTGTCCACTTTGCCGCTCTTATAGAACAACATCATCATCCACCATGTCGCTCATATAGAGACGGCAGACATGTCCAGCTAAGTGTCACTTTAGTTTTAGAGCATGTGTGAGAGCGATCAGTCAGTTTGGTTTTAGCTCTTATGGCGGTACTCTTTATTTTTTGGACCTTCCTATTTTTTAGGATACTTCGCTTCATTGTTCTTTCTGTGGTAGTGATTTTGCATTTTACCTTTTTAGAGAATACCCAGGACTGGCATCTATATAGTAGGCTTGGTAGCAGGTGTCCATCACTACTATACCCTTAGTACGAGTTTTACAATTACGAAAACTATGATAGTTTTCATGAGCTCGCAAGTACTGATATTATTGTTTTTGTTTCAATATAAATAAGCAGTGTTTAAATTCTATCATTAAGTAATTTGCGTCTTCTTAGATTTTAGGTATATTGGTTACTTTTCGCCAAAATGGACATAGAAACATAATTTACAATTACGAAAACTATGATAGTTTTCGTGAGCTCAAACTCGTACTAAGGGTACTTAAGAATTTAGAAAAATCGTAATATTATCGTTTATATACATGATGCTTATACTTTTAATTCAATATAATTTGAAGATCTTAACATGTGGGTCATTTTATAAATCCATAATTAAAGAAAAACCTTACTTAAAAATGTATCATCAGATATAATGTATACACATCACATCACATATTAAGTATGATAAAACTGATCAAGTGCCTACTTGGATAAAAGGTATATTACCCTAGCGTAACAATTTCATAAGTCCATATCCTAAGGTATATAGTATTTTGTTGCTAATTTGTTGCTATTTTGTGCCGCAAGAATTGATTTTGTTGCTCCATGATTTCTCCGAAAAACGCCTGTTACGCTAGCGAAACCACAGCGATAACTCGGAGGCAAAAGCAGTTAGAGAGACCAGATGAACGGCATATTTTGTTGCTATTTTGTTGCTGTAAGATAAGCTGGTTAGATATGGAAAAATTACCCCCCTTCATGGGGGGCTAACTACCCTTATTCTTAGATATTTCAGATTTTTCGTATCTCGTGAACTAAAGCAGAACTAGCGGCACGAGACAAACGGCGTATTTTGTTGCTGTAAGATAAGCTGGTTAGATATGGAAAAATTCCCCCCCTTCATGGGGGGCTAACTACCCTTATTCTTAGATATTTCAGATTTTTCGTATCTTGTGAACTAAAGCAGCTAGCGGCACGAGACAAACACCGTATTTTGTTGCTATAAGGTAGGCATGCTGCGTACATCATAATCACAACCCTTATCGGGGTATGACCAACCCCCGACCTCAAGACACCAGATAATTCGTATCTCGTGAGCTAAAGCAGCTAGCGACCCGAGACCAACGGCGTATTTTGTGTCTGTAAGATAAGCTGGTTAGATGTGAAAAAATATCATCCCTTCATGAGAGGCTAACTACCCTTATTCTTACATATCTCAGATATTTCGTATCTCGTGAGTTAAAGCAGCTAGCGACCCGAGACCAACGGCGTATTTTGTTGCTATTTTGTAGCTATAAGATAGGCATGCTGCGTACATCATAATCACAACCCTTATCGGGGTATGACCAACCCCCGATCCCAAGACACCAGATATTTCGTATCTCGTGAACTAAAGCAGCTAGCGGCACGAGACAAACGGCGTATTTTGTTGCTGTAAGATAAGCTGGTTAGATATGAAAAAATATCAGCCCTTCATGAGAGGCTAACTACCCTTATTCTTACATATCTCAGATATTTCGTATCTCGTGAGCTAAAGCAGCTAGCGACCCGAGACCAACAGCGTATTTTGTTGCTATTTTGTAGCTATAAGATAGGCATGCTGCGTACATCATAATCACAACCCTTATCGGGGTATGACCAACCCCCGACCCCAAGACACCAGATATTTCGTATCTCGTGAGCTAAAGCAGCTAGCGACCCAAGACCAACGGCGTATTTTGTTGCTATTTTGTAGCTATAAGATAGGCATGCTGCGTACATCATAATCACAACCCTTATCGGGGTATGACCAACCCCCGACCTCAAGACACCAGATAATTCGTATCTCGTGAGCTAAAGCAGCTAGCGACCCGATCCCAACGGCGTATTTTGTTGCTATTAGATAGGCATGCTGCGACCATCATAATCACAACCCTTATCGGGGTATGATCAACCCCCGACCCCGAAGACACCAGATATTTCGTATCTCGTGAGCTAAAGCAGCTAGCGACCCGAGACCAACGGCGTATTTTGTTGCTTTAAGATAGGCATGCTGCGTACATCATAATCACAACCCTTATCGGGGAGCTAAAGCAGCTAGCGACCCGAGACCAACGGCGTATTTTGTTGCTATTTTGTAGCTATAAGATAGGCATGCTGCGTACATCACAATCACAACCCTTATCGGGGTATGACCAACCCCTGATACGCCGTTGGTCTCGGGTCGCTAGCTGCTTTAGCTCACGAGATACGAAATATCTGGTGTCTTCGGGGTCGGGGGTTGATCATACCCCGATAAGGGTTGTGATTATGATGGTCGCAGCATGCCTATCTAATAGCAACAAAATACGCCGTTGGGATCGGGTCGCTAGCTGCTTTAGCTCACGAGATACGAATTATCTGGTGTCTTGAGGTCGGGGGTTGGTCATACCCCGATAAGGGTTGTGATTATGATGTACGCAGCATGCCTACCTTATAGCAACAAAATACGGCGTTTGTCTCGTGCCGCTAGCTGCTTTAGTTCACAAGATACGAAAAATCTGAAATATCTAAGAATTAGGGTAGTTAGCCCCCCATGAAGGGGGGGAATTTTTCCATATCTAACCAGCTTATCTTACAGCAACAAAATAGCAACAAAATACGCCGTTTGTCTCGTGCCGCTAGCTGCTTTAGTTCACGAGATACGAAAAATCTGAAATATCTAAGAATAAGGGTAGTTAGCCCCCCATGAAGGGGGGAATTTTTCCATATCTAACCAGCTTATCTTACAGCAACAAAATAGCAACAAAATACGCCGTTTGTCTCGTGCCGCTAGCTGCTTTAGTTCACAAGATACGAAAAATCTGAAATATCTAAGAATAAGGGTAGTTAGCCCCCCATGAAGGGGGGTAATTTTTCCATATCTAACCAGCTTATCTTACAGCAACAAAATAGCAACAAAATATGCCGTTCATCTGGTCTCTCTAACTGCTTTTGCCTCCGAGTTATCGCTGTGGTTTCGCTAGCGTAATATTACGCTAGCGTAACAGGCGTTTTTCGGAGAAATCATGGAGCAACAAAAGCAATTCTTGCGGCACAAAATAGCAACAAATTAGCAACAAAATACTATATACCTTAGGATATGGACTTATGAAATTGTTACGCTAGGGTAATATACCTTTGGATAAATCAGTACTGATTTTAACTGTGCAATTATTATCAAAGGAAGATTATTTTTAGTTTGTTTAAGTTTTTATTAAACAGATCTTTAAAACGTTAGCTGTATTTTATTGAAAAATCAAAAAAATCCTATGATTTCAAGAGATTTGCAAAATGAGAAGAGTCAAAAAATCCTGAAATCTCAAGACAAATCCTGAGATATGGTAACCCTACCCGCAAGCCTGAGGTCTGCAGGATAAAAATACCGAAGCAAAAGTGCCAAAGTGCATGCTGCTGGGCTGTGAGAGTATTCAAAGTTTTAGTTCCGAAAACTTCAAGGAATTTAAAACAGTTTGCTCAGCAGATAGGTAATCACATTACATTTTTATGAGGAGACTTTTTAAATTTACAATTACCGAAAAAAAAAGAATTGTTTCTGATTACCGAATAAACATTTAGACGCGATACTGCGCGTGTCTGTGACTAAAATGAAAGCAGAAGTTAAAAAACAGGCAAGTCAATTGCAGCTGCAAAAATCTCACTAGTTCTTACTTTTATGTTAGTATAGTAATTCCACTACTGGACATAGGCCTTCCTTTATGTCCGTATGGATGTGGAATTACCTCCCCAAAGATTGTGGCCATCTTTCGTGATGATAATAATTTAAATAGACATGATTGTATGAATATATGACTACAAACGTAGATATGCGTTTTATTTCAAATATTAAAATAAAATGTATGAATGAAACACGTGCGGCCCACAATGCTACTCTGGCAACATGTTGGCCCTTCTACAGCAAAAGGTTACCGACTCCTGGTGTATAATACAAGCCTTTCAACAAAAACTATAGTCTACACTACAACTACACTGAAGCGAAGCAAGGGTAGGCCACTAGTTTTATATAAAACTAGCTGATCCAGCGAACTTCGTACCGCCATAAAAAAAAAAATTAAAAAAACATTGTCCAGTGGACAAAATTGTGAATCTAAACCATTCTCAGATCCCCTTGAAGACACACAAAAAATTTCATCAAAATCGGTCCAGTAGTTTAAGAGAAGTTCAGTGACATACACACTCACAGAAGAATTATATATATAAAGATTTTGTTGATAATGAATTTTTTATGACTTTGGAAAATCAACTGTTATATACTAGCCCCTGCAGCATGAGTTCTATCGCATCTATCGTCAAACTAACGGTAATTTGAAAATTGAGCATGATAATAATGAGCTATACCGGTTCCGGTCAACGTCAAGTTACTCTCGTCTGAGAATAAAGCTCCTATCTGCTTGGATAAAAAAAACAGAGTCATCGGCCTAAAGATGAATAAAAGTCAAACAAATATCTGACCAATAGTTACAAGAAACGAGTACTTGCGAGCTCACGAAAACTATCATAGTTTTCGTGAGCTCGCAAGTTGACGTTAGTTTGACGATAGATGCGATAGAACTCATGCTGCAGGGATTAGTATATAACAGTTGATTTTCCCAAGTCATAAAAGATTCATTATCAACAAAATTTTATGTAAAACTAGTGGCCTACCCTTGCTTCGCTTCAGTGTAGAGTTGTAGTGTAGACTGTAGTTTTTGTTGAAAGGCTTGTATTATACACCAGGAGTCGGTAACCTTTTGCTGTAGAAGGGCCAACATGTTGCCAGAGTAGCATTGTGGGCCGCACGTGTTTCATTCATACATTTTATTTTAATATTTGAAATAAAACGCATATCTACGTTTGTAGTCATATATTCATACAATCATGTCTATTTAAATTATTATCATCACGAAAGATGGCCACAATCTTTGGGGAGGTAATTCCACATCCATACGGACATAAAGGAAGGCCTATGTCCAGTAGTGGAATTACTATACTAACATAAAAGTAAGAACTAGTGAGATTTTTGCGGCTGCAATTGACTTGCCAGTTTTTTAACTTCTGCTTTCATTTTAGTCACAGACACGCGCAGTATCGCGTCTAAATGTTTATTCGGTAATCGGAAAAACTTCTTTTTTTCGGTAATTGAAAATTTAAAAAGTCTCCTCATAAAAAATGTAGTACCAAATATAGTGATTACCTATCTGCTGAGCAAACTGTTTTAAATTCCTTGAAGTTTTCGGAACTAAAACTTTGAATACTCTCACAGCCCAGCAGCATGCACTTTGGCACTTTTGCTTCGGTATTTTTATCCTGCAGACCTCAGGCTTGCGGGTAGGGTTACCATATCTCAGGATTTGTCCTGACATTTCAGGATTTTTTGACTCTTCTCATTTTGGAAATCTCTTGAAATCTTAGGATTTTTTTGATTTTTCAATAAAATACAGCTAACGTTTTAAAGATCTGTTTAATAAAAACTTAAACAAACTAAAAATAATCTTCCTTTGATAATAATTGCACAGTTAAAATCAGTACTGATTTATCCAAGTAGGCACTTGATCAGTTTTATCATACTTAATATGTGATGTGATGTGTATACATTATATCTGATGATACATTTTTAAGTAAGGTTTTTCTTTAATTATGGATTTATAAAATGACCCACATGTTAAGCTCTTCAAATTATATTGAATTAAAAGTATAAGCATCATGTATATAAACGATAATATTACGACTTTTCTATATTCTTAAGTACGTTTGAGAGAAAATTCTTAAACTGTAGAAATCTCAGGATTTTTCAATGGAAATCAAGCCTTTTCTCCGGACTTTTGATTTTTTCATCTGGTCACCCTATTTGCGAGCCGCACTGTGATTGTCCGCGGCCCGCAAGCCGCGCGGACCCTGCCGGAAACCGACTATCACTTTTGAACCATCTTCTTTATGTCAGATATCAATGATCATCACTATTTATGCAGATATCAGCCACTGAGGGTGACGGAGGCATATGCGAGATCTGCATAACTCGCCTGCGAGACGCTTGCGACTTCAAGAGCCAAGTACAGACATGTCAATTGGCGTTGCAAGACAAGAGCTCACTGATAAAAGGTAACCTTTCTTCTATTTTTTTACTACGAGCGTTTGCGAAACTCGACATCCATATACCGGAGTCACTCCAGCAAGCCCCCAACTCCGTCTGGAACGCCCCCAGCGCCTTTACATTGGTGATTGCTCTCTTGGAGGTTTCCTGGTGAGCTGAGGTATTTCACCCCTACTCCGTTGCATTCCAGCAGAACGTGAGTAGCTGTTTCCTCTGCCTCCGTACATCCTCTGCATACTTAGGGTACCTAACAAACGTACCTTTACTTTTAAAGAAAATTTTAAGAAAAAAAAATTTAAGGGAACCAGGCAGCAGACGGGACTCGAATCCGCACCCTTCGCTATATAGCCCTGATGGCCGTGTTGAATTTTCTCTATCAAGCTCCTTGTCAACACGATACGGTTATATCACGTGTTCCCTCCCTCTTACAACCTGGGTTCCTTTAAAAGAGGCGTGAAGCAGCAACATGCAGGCTGGTAGGGTGAGGATGGCTGGTGAGGCAGGTAGAACTGCTGTATCAGCTATCTTCGCGTCTGGACTTCACCTTCACTTAACATCAGGTGGGGTGGAGTCATTTGTCGGACCTATCTATATAAAAAAAATAAGAATTCACATTTTTGACAGATCTTGCTAGATCTGTATCTTAAGTATGAAATTAAAAATGCTGCTCAAGTTATTACTTACGCGAAAGTTATGCCTATTACTTGTTTATAAATACGACAAAGCCGCGAATACGTGATAAGTAACATGAACACAATTTCATGATTTTCGTATGTAATTTACACCATTTTGGATGTAGGGTTTTGCTTCTTTTCCAGACGAATCCAAGTTGAAGGTGAAGGAGGAAATGGACCTAGAAGACGGCAATGACAACGACATATATTTCATGGGTAAGCAGTATAGTATTATCAGATTTAAACCTATGGCGCAGGTGGATAGTGCATTCGCCTGCGATCGTGGAAGTTATGCGACTTTTTTTTTTAGTTTATTCTGGCATTGAATACTAAGTCCTTTAGCCGATATGCTACTTTCGAAATAGGCTGTTAGACAGTAAAAAAAAGAAAAGTACCAATTGTTGGAATTTGTATTCAATAAGAATTTATTTAGCGATTTTCCTATTCTGAGAGAACAAATAATTAAAAACTTTTCGAAAAAATCATTAAATAGAATTGATATTTCTGTTCTATGGTCACCTGAGATTGGCGTAGACTATATATGACGTCACATGTTAGTAAAATTTCATTTCATTTTATCTTTTTTTTATTGTGTTGTTTATCGGTCGTGGTGAATTTTAATGTAAAAAGATGCGCCGTACAGCTGTATTGATGGTCTTGAAGTCGCTCAGTCGAGTCCTCAATATTATTAACGACATTAAAATTTTCATGTCGACCGCTAATAAAAGATAATTTTCGTTTAACAAACACATATTGTCCCATATCGTTAATAAAAATAATGAAGAGTAGAGGACCAAGCAGAGATCCCTGTGGGACACCAGGTGGAATGTATGACTAAGAAGAAATATAATCGTATAGTACAACAGCCTGAGACCTTTTGGAGATATACGATGAGAATAATCTCTTTTAAAATTGCTTTTAAAGTACCCTCAAAAGCACCTCGCAAAAATACTTATTTTTTATTACTTTCTAGAAGCCGTTTAGTACTCCTTCTGTTTGCATGAACTATAGACAAAACAGTTTTCTTATTAGAGCATGTTCGGCCCTCAGTAAAGCTGACACCAGCATAGATATCTTCTTTAATAGTATCACTATAAACAAGAGTTTGTTCCAGCTGATTAATTAGTCATTATGTAAAGTACTTATTGTAATATTCGATATTTTCTCTCACTACTAACATTTCATGTAAAACTGTTATAACTATGATATGGTTGACGCTTCTGTGTTTTTGTTTAGTATTTTAATCAATACAGATTTCTATATGTGGTATCTTGTCAATAGCTTTAGTAATGTTTTTTTGCTGTTATTTTTATTTTCATAAGTTGTTAGCTGCCCTAAGATAATAAATAAATAAACTTGAAAATCGCATTTTTGATTTAGTTTTTGATGTGTAACATCTTTCCTCTCGCTTTCCTGCAATTTGTGGGAGTGATTACGTGAAATGGGACGGAAGTGTGTAACAGGAAGTCGAAAAGCGCGCGCTATTTGATTTGATTTCAGAACATAATTTTCAAATGTCTTTTTCCTTTTGTAGTAGGTTTTATTCCTTTTTTACTAATATAAGGTGAGGTTTCAAATGTTACACATCATACGCGACTACTGTAAGACTGCTCTACAGAATGATGAATATCCCCTTTTTATAGACTCTGTAAACATTAGTAATTAACGTGAGATCATTTTCTAAAACTGGTCAAATACCTTACTGGTGCCAATACTTTACGCCCAAGTAATTTTGCAGCTGTCAAAGAAGAGATGTCTGACTACGAGGTTGACAAAGACGATTGCGATCAGCTGGTGGAAATGCTAGGCTGCAACGATGTGACCGTTAAAAAGAAGTCCACGGTCAAGAAGAAGAGTGGGAAGAAGAGACCGCTTGTTATAGAGAAGAGTTCCACAGGTCAGTATAATGAGAGATATTAACTAAAATACTAATATGGTATTAGTATCACATGAGTGTTTTAATACCTAATTATGAACTTTATCTACAACCATGATATGAATCCTCTATGAAAAAAGTTTCTGAAACTAACTGAAACGCTAAGTACTTACTCGATGCCTTGGATAGGTTGCAGCGGCGCGCTGCCCGCATCATTGGCGATGAAGAGGTAACTAACAAACTCGAGTCTCGACAATAGAGTATTTGACAGTATTAAAAATAAAGAGCCAATTGTTAGCATCTGTGTTTAGAATGAATATTGGCAGTGGTTTATACTATTTTTTCAAAAAAATATTCATAATTTTACTAAAGACCCACGAAAAAGATAATAGTTTTCTTATCTATTGTCACGTGACCCAAAACGCTTGGGATTGGCGGAGCCTAAAATGACTTCACACGCAAGTAAACTTCCGGTTAAAGTGACATTGCATTGTATCGCTTGACGTTTAAATAACAGTCTTGCGTCGTCACACACTAGTAAGACGCCATATTGTCCGGAAAAACGCTTTCGCGGCAACTTGAAAATGGAGTTTTTGATTTGGTTATTTTTACTGAAATACACAGATAACAGAATGATGAATATCCACTTTTTACGGACTCCATAAATTAGTCAATAACGTGAGATCGTTTTCTAAAACTTATCAAATAGCCTATTACACCGCGATGTGACGCGACCGCGACTATACCACGGCGAGTGTTCTGAGGAGTTATTCTCCCTTATCCATCTATCATCTTTTCTTCAGAGGACCACGCGCGCTGGCCTACATTGCCACCGACTTACTGTGGCAACTATTCCTACACGAACAAAGAAATTTGGCGACTCATTTCTTTGTCATACTATTCGTAAGTGGAATTCTTTCCCAGCGCACGTGTTCCCTCCTTCCTAATAATCTGGGGTCCTTTAAAGTGAAGAAGCATTTTTGCAGGCTGACAAGGTGAAGATGGTTGCTGTAGCAGTTTATAACTGCTGTACCAGCTATCTTTGCGTTTGGACTTTATCATCACTTGAGAGCCCTTTCAAATTTTTTGCAAAAAATCGTAATTTTTGAGCGCCTCATTTACCCCCTTAGAAAAGATTTTGACTATATCCAATAGAAGTAAACAGTAGATTTATTCTTCCTTTTGTAAGGTAATGCAGAATATTTGCAAATACTATTTTCCTTTTTTTTATACTGATCGTTCTACTGCAGCTAGTTTAAGGAAAAAACGATAATATGCAAAACTTCAAACGCCCTAATCTCTCAATAATGTTCAATAAATTAGATCAAAATAATTACTACGACATCAGAAATATGTTTTGTTGTAACATAATGTATTAAAATGTTGATTTTCGATCTCATTAATTATCAAAAAAACATCTAACCTCCGTGAGTTTTGCCAAAAAATAATGCAGGTTTACCTCGTATTTTGATATTGAATTAAATAGAATTACTATCAAAAACTTTCATAAAAGTAATCTAACATCATTGAACTATAAAAATATGTATATATTTTTATAATTAGTTCATAAATAATTATTTTATAAGACACGAAACATCACCCGTAAAATGCAATATATACTAGTGCAAATCTACCTAAGCGCCGATCAGTACGGCAGCGACGCAATTTTGTAAAAGGGCTCTTAACATCCGCCCCCCTAGCATGAGCAGCGCGATATGATATATAGCACGTTTTTATCACGCTCAATTGTCAAATTTCTATGGAATTTGACAGTAAGACACGATAAAACACGTGATAAAATGTATAATGTAGTGCTCATGCTACAGGGACAGGTGGGGTAGAGTCATTTGCCTACCTCGCTATAAAAAAGAAACATGGCGTTCAATTAATCAAATGGGGGGAGTTCTAGGAACTTAAAATTCATAAAAAGTTTCGGCGCTGTCATAGTGAAGCGCATAATACCATGCATCGGATGAGTATGCACTTGGCGCGGAAGGGTTTTAAAAATCGAAGAAATGTTATAATGAAATTTAGTACAACATTATAACACCCGTTCGGATGTTGTTTTTATTTTTTTTAATTTTAATGTTGGCAATAAGCTAATTGTTTCAGATTAGAATCTGCATTGGTGTAGATAAAATTTATATTTTCATGCCTACTAGCGCGTCTGTGCAAAAAAGAAATACTTTGTTTTAAACTTTGATTGATGCTGACATTAAAATCTGAGGGCCCGGCCGACTTACGATGTATTTATTTGTAATTTTTATATCATAATCTTTATTGCTTCACGTTGGTGCGTACATGGGTTCCTAAATTTAAAATAAGGATTCACAACATGAGCCCTGCAAGGTCATTGCAAATAAATTCTTAATTTCTATCAAGCATTTTACTATTACAAACATCGTCTACTTTTGTGAAACATTTTACCTAAAGTGTATCTATTTTGTTTTTCTAAATTGATACAATGAGGGCTATCGCGTATGAATTAAGGCGCTTGTGTAGCTTCAGGTCTCCGAAATGTCAAATGTTATTGCTTGTGGATTGACTACAAGGGTTTATTTCGTATTAAATTTATGTGGTGAATATTTGGTAATAACTCCGATTAATAGGGTATTTGACAGTATTAAAAATAAAGTATCAATTGTTAGCATTTGTATTTAAAATGAATATTGGCAGGAGTTTTTAATATTTTTACAGAAAAAATACTCATAATTTTACTAAAAACCCACGATAAAGATAATAGTTTTCTTGTCTATTGTCACGTGACCCAAAACGCTTGGGATTGGTGGAACCTAAAATGACATCACACGCAAGTAAACTTCCGGTTAAAGTGACATTTGACTGTATGGTTTGACGTTTTCGTGTGACGTCACACACCAGTGAGACGCCATATCGTCCAGAGATACGTTTTTCGCGGCAACTTGAAAATAGAGTTTTTGATTTGTTTTTTTTTTACCGAAATACACAACATAATGATGAATATCCACTTTTTATGGACTCTATAAACATTAGTAAATAAGGTGAGAGCGTTTTCTAAAACTTGTCAAATACCCTATTATAGCAAATATGAGTTCCGTGTCAATGATTGTCAGTGATTTAAAAGCAGAGCTAAGAAAAAATTTTATGTCCTCCTTTCTTTCCGAACAAAACGGAACTGCGCAACCCTGTGGCATGGATACGGTTCTTTTGTATGAAAATATGATTTAAATGTAATCATTGATTTCACTCGCGTATTAAGAAACTTTAAAAGCTTTACTGTAGGACCTCACTGAACAGTGGCGCCATCTGGTGAGACAAAAAACGGTAGCCCTCATTGCAAATAATGGGTTTGATTCTGGCGTAATTCCCTTAACCAAAAAATAAATTTTACTTTATACCTAGTCCAGCCATAAGTTCTGTTACAAATGAAAATGCATTTTGAATGAAGTAATGTAACATTATTTAAATTGATACCTACATATTTATTAAAGTCTCACCAAAAAAAAAAGTATTCGAAATGGCCACATTTGGTTTTTATACAGCCGTTCTTTATATACTTCTATAACTCGTGACCAAACTTCATGCTCATTATGATCTGCCGCAATCTTGATCGAAATACGTGCGGTCCGTGTGACAGTTACCAATCAACTGATTGAGAAAATAAATGCCCCGATCGCGCTACACACGCAAACTGCAGGGCGACAGGGACAATCCAGGAACCAAGGGTGGGCTCACGCCACTGCCGCTCTACCGCAGGGCCAATTTAGGAAATTGCCCCTGCTTATCTACACACATCACAATTAAGGAGGCAATTAAGGGTCATCCCCACTCTTACACCCTAGATTGCCTCTGTGGCAGGGATGTCAGTTGCCCGCTTTATAATACACATACGCGACAGAGTCCTAGCGGGAATATTCATTTTTTTGGTCTGTTCTCTCCGTTCATTAAACGGAAAAGGCAAAGACGACAAAATGCGCCATACAGCCAAGACTAAAACGGGAATATTCATTTCTCGCGATAATATTTTTTGCTTCTTAATGGGGTATCGACGAATTCTGGCGTGTTCCAAATTCAAAATAATTAAAAAGTTGATAAAAAAACAAGTTTTTATGTAACAGTATTTATGGCCTGACTAGTTGTATACCAAAAGATATGTATGATATGTCATATTCTATAGATAAGGTTAAGGAAACTTTGTGTTGCTGTGAAATTAAGTTTTAAGTTTGCAGAATCAAGCCCGTTATATTGCTTAATGCTTCATTACATTCCTAAGCCCATACATTACACACAATAAATCTTTGCACAGATCGCAAATCGAAGAAACTGATAAACGGCGCCATCAAACTATCCCTCAGAGCGTACTCGCATATAGAGAAAATGAAATCCCAAATACCAACCATACGCTTCATGACAGAAAGCAAAAAACACCAAATGAACATACAGAACGTGTTGAAATACTCAAATTGCACACCATTCTCCAATAAGACACTGGCTGGCATATTCTGCGCTTACTGCAAAGAGACATATAGGGACATACAGTCTTTAAGGTCGCACACGCAGGAAAAACACAAGGAAGACGAAATACACGAAAACCGGAGAATGGACAGAAACAACATTTGCGTCAAAATGGATATAACAGATCTGAAATGCAACTTGTGCAATGCCAACTTTGACACTGTCGCCAACCTCAAGAAACATCTGACGAAAGAGCACGACATCAAGTTCTATCCCGACATCAACGATTACATATTAGAATTTAAGCTGACGGAGACTGAAATGCTGAATTGCGCCCTGTGCAACTCCACTTTCGAAACGTTCAAAATGCTATTGCAACACATGAACGGCCACTACAGGAACTACATTTGCGATGTATGCGACATGGGTTTTATTAACAAACATCGCTTGAAGAATCACCAGCGGACGCATGAAGTGGGAGATTTCAACTGCTCTTTCTGCGATAAAGTTTTCACTACGAGAGTCAGAAAGATGTGCCACGAGAAGTACACCCATAATACGAACGCAAGATACACGACAACTTGTCCGCACTGCGAACAGTCGTTCACGAGTTACTACCAAAGAAACAGGCATATGTTTAAAGAGCACAATACTGTGGCCGCTTCGTACAAATGCAATATATGCGACAAATCATTCATATTGAAATCCAAACTGACATCGCATATAAAGAAAGTTCACTTGATGGAACGAAATCATACTTGTACGGAGTGCGGACAAGGTTTCTTCATCAAACAATCTTTGGACGAGCACATGATAAAGCATAATGGTGAAAGAGTGTTTAAATGTACGGTCTGTCACAAAGCTTACGCTAGGAAGAAGACTTTAAGGGAGCATATGAGAATTCATAATAACGATAGGCGGTTCAAGTGTGGTGTTTGTGGTTCCGCGTTTGTCCAAAAGTGCAGTCTCAAAAGTCATATGCTGTCGAATCACGGTATAACGCTGTCGGAATATGAATCGACTCACATCAGCGCTTCGAGTCCTTAGTAATCAGTAAAAGTGCGAGTGTTTATCAAACTGAAAATAATTTGTTTAGTTTAGGGTGTTACAAGCACCCATGAATGTTTAGAAGCTACGCCATCGGTTTTGTAAATCTACGGCGAGAGACCTTGTACTGAGTAGAACCGGCAAGAAACTCAGCAAGGGCTGTGCGAGCTTAGAAGTGTTTGTTTCTCATCTTTTAGTTGGGTACGTGTAAAAGTTTTAGTTATTTATGTTACACGTACGGAAAGTAAGTTATTACCAATAAGTACCACATGGTGTAGACACGATGCGCTCGTGTTTTCAGTGGTACGCATTCGTAATAACCTTTTACCCCTCGTTTACACCAAGGTATAAATACATGTAAGTATTTAACAAATGTTATTGAAGTAAAACTTCATTACGTACGCTTGACTTGGGGGGTAAGCTGACGAATGCGATACGCGTTAAGAAAAGTGTGTTCGGGCGTTGAGTGGCGGGAGTTGTGTGGGGGATATAAGCAAGAGTAAGCAGTGCGCGTGCACATTTTCTTTCTCTCTTTCTCTTATAGCTAGTTAATGAAATATGTGTATGTATATCTTTATATATATAATTCTTCTGTGAGTGTGTATGTCACTGAACTTCTCTTAAACGACTGGACCGATTTTGATGAAATTTTTGTGTGTGTTCAAGGGGATCTGAGAATGGTTTAGATTCACAATTTTGTCCGCTGGACAACCCCTATTTTTTAGGGCGGTACGAAGTTCGCTGGGTCAGCTAGTACATGTATATATTGTACACACACACATATATATATACACATACAGTTGGAGCCATAGAAGTTTCACTTCAGTCGTGTGGTTATAAGCACATTCGTTTTTTTTCTTTACACTTATATATACTTTATTTGTTGTGCTGATGTGATGGCATGGTGTAAGAGCTTACTGTATATCAATTTTTATGTAATTTAGGATAATGTTTTAATTAAATTTTCAACTTGAACAAAACTGAAAAATATTAAAAAATATCATAATCTTCTGTTGCGTCGAATGTTGTTTAGAGTTATTTATTTAAATTATAATAAAAATAAGAAATTATAAGTATTTCTATGGTAAAGTTTTATATTTGTATATACATATTTATAAGTCATCTAAATATATCTGAGAATATAGTTAGTAGGTATAAGGTTATGATCAAATGTGTATAATTGTATAGGTAGCTGCAATGTTCTTGTGAAAAACCACAGACAAACAAAATGGCGCTGTTGACGTTTTTGTATAGATAGCGGCAAACTTGACCAAAACCAGAGACAAATAAACTAGCGCAGTAGACGTTTTTGTATGTAAAATTGCTACTGCTCAGGGGCTTTCTTGTCTATGGTCGTTGCTTAAGAAGTTTGCTGGGGTATATATTCACTTGGCCATCGGTTTGTCCTTTTTATTCCTTAGGAAGCATGATAAGGACAGACTGTTGCCAAGTTTACAAATAGCAAACACGAAAAGCCAAATGTGTGGGCATTATGTTTGCTATTTGTTTGTTCCTCGTTTCACGAAAGCTCTCTAAAAGAAATGCCTGTAAATAATATTTAAGTTGATAAATAGTATTAAAAAAAGTGTTAAAAGTCCAGTTAATAAAAAATGTTGAAAACTGATGTTTTTTAGATTGCATAAATTAATACGTAATTATTTGGCTGTTGTAAAATTTTATTTTTTTTAAATTATTTGAATCGTTATAATTATTTTTTTATCATTATATTTGTCCATTTACAATCACCGCTGTAGCTATAATTAAATTGTTTGAAGATGTTCCCAGAAATTAGAGACCAAACACACCCAGCGATTTGTAATCTCATATGGAATGTGGCTCTATATAGAAGCTGGTTTTCGTTCGTAAAATCGTTATTATAAATAATATTATTTTATATACATTTTTATATCCTTTTGTCTGCTGTTTTCCTTTGTAAGAGAATTATGAATTTTTATTTATATATTTTTTTATACTGAACCTTTTATATTGCTTAGGGATGTACATGTACATATTTTTACATTTATTTATTGGTTATGTTAACTTCAGAATATAGCGTACATTATTATATTATACAATATTAATTTTTAACATATTATTGTATATAGTTACTACTCACCGTCCAAAACATATTAATTTTTGTTTAAAATAGATCTACATATTTACAATAATTGTGTATATAATAATTATATCAACTTGTACAATTTTATCATTGTAGTTGTAAGCGCATTGTGCAATAAATGATTTTTATTTAAATTTATTGTTTTATTAATGTATGATGACTGTAGCTTGAGCACCGCGATATATATACACTTCTGGACACATCTATTGGCCCACCTTAGAGTTTAGGTTTCGATGGCCCCTACCGAAATATGATTGCTAGATTGAACAAAAACTGTTGATGCAGTTTTAAACCTGATACATTTTACCATCTTTTTTGATCGTATTGTTTTAAATTTGAATTCAGAATACCATACGACATGGAGCTACACCTAACAAGTCGGATATGCGCCTTGTTAAAGGCAATTGATTTTTGAATAAAAAACATGTTTTATCAAATAAAGGTTTAATTTAATAACGCGTGTTGCCTCCATGGGCATCTACCACAGCTCTCATACGATTAGGCATAGAGTTTATCAACCGCTCTATGAAATTTTGAGGGATCATCTCCCATTCCTCTTCTATGGCAGTTTTCAACTCCTGCATCGTCTGGGCAACTGGCTGACGAGCCCTAACACGTCTTTTTAGCTCGTCCCACATGTGCTCAATGGTGTTCATGTCTGGGCTTCTGGCTGGCCAGTCCATAACTGTGATGTTCACATCCCGAAGATATTCCCTGACGATGCCGGCCGCATGGGCTCTTGCATTATCATGCATAAAAAGGAAATTTGGGCCCACATAGTCCGCGTATGGTATCACGTGAGGTTCTAAGCACTCACGAATGTACCTTTCAGCATTTAATGTTGGCAGCCGTGGTCCTGTAACAACCTCAATTTGAGTTTTGCCGCTCGCGGATATACCGCCCCAGACAGTCCATGAGCCACCGCCATAAGCAACCCTCTCTTCAAAGCAGCATTGTGCGAAACGCTCTCCCTTACGTCGGTAGACTTTCTTCCTTCCATCATTGCCATGTAACACAATTTTAGACTCATCAGAAAAGAGTACACGGCTCCAATCTTGCTGTGTCCAATTTAAATGACTGCGTGCGAAATGAAGGCGCGCTGTTCGGTGGGCTCGCGTTAGTTTGGGGTCCATTAGCTGGCTTGTGTGGTACCATATCGCGTTCTTTTAACCTTCTCCGAACAGTTAGCGCTCACAGATACTCCGTGGAAGTCGCGAATTTGTTTTTGTATCTCAATAGAGGTAAGGTGACGATTTCTCAAGCTGGTCGTCACGATGAATCGATCCTGCCTTTCAGTTGTGACCCGAGATCGTGGCCTTCCTTGGCGACGAACAAAGCCGCCAGTCTCTAGGTACCTCCGATAAACATTTCGGACCGCAGATCGACTTAAATTAAGTTGAGCACTCACGTTTCTTTGGCTGTGTCCGGCCTGAATAAGAGCCACAGCTTGGGCGGCGACTTCAGGTGAAGTATCCGTAGATTATTGATAGAATCTCACCTTAATGTTAAGAATAAGTAATGTTTGTTGCAAAACCAAAGATATCAATCACTTTTTCAAGAATTAAATCCAAGTAAACCAATAAAACCAAGTTTTCTTAGTATTCGATTGTTTGATATCAACAAACAGGCTCCAAATTGTCTTTTGTTTCTTTAAATTCTGTGTTCGAAATTCAAAAAAAGACTATTGAATGAAATTGTGAATGTGCCAGGTTCAAAACTGCATAAAAACTTTTTGTTCGACCTAATATAAAATTTTAGCTAGGACCAAACGAAACTGAAAATACAAGGTGGGCCAATAGATGTGTCCAGATGTGTATATATATACATATTATTATCGCTGTCGGGTAAAGTTGTAAGTAAAGATTCCTTAAACATTCCGAACAATTTTCTTTTTCTTAAAACAAAAAGAGAAGATACTGTACGCTCATACTAGCATCAAATAAAATATGCTCTGACCCAACTGCACAAGCAGCTCTCACACACGCACACTTCTGTAAATAACCATTCAATCGAGCGGCGAGACCCGTGGACGAGACAGAACTGTACCCCTAGCACGAACCAATATCGAATTCGTATCGTTTGCGTGTCTGAAATGACATTGTCAAATGTGTACTGATTTTTAGTTCTCGTTACGTACTTTGTGCCGCTGCTGTTCAAGTTTCCATACAAAATTTGACATTGACATTTATGTTTGCAAACTATTCGAATTTGATAACAGTTCGTGCTAAGGGTACTGTACCCCTAGCACGAACCATTATCGAATTCGAATAGTTTGTGAGTCCGAAATGTCATCGTCAAATGTGTACTCATTTTTAGTTCTTCTTACGTACTTTGTGGCGCTGCTGTTCAAGTTTCCATACAAAATTTGACATTGACATTTCGGTTTGTAAACTATTTGAATTCGATATTGGTTCGTGCTAGGGGTACAGTACACATTTGACAATGACATTTCGGACTCGCAAACTATTCGAATTCGATAATGGTTCGTGCTAAGGGTACTGTACGGTTCAACGCAGCGCAAACGAAACGGCGAGTCCGCGTCGATTTTCAGCCGACTGTGTTTTCTTCTCTCTCTCTACAAACGGCTGAGCTGTATTGTTGTAATTTTCTTGATAACAGACGGGCAATATGTAAATAAAATTCATGACAAACCGTGTTTTAATTTTAAGAAAAATTTTGTTTATAGTTTTACGAATTAAAAGTGTTGCCGTGAAATTTGTTTTCTAAATCTTGAACTATTTGCTTTTTAAAAGCATCGAAGACATTGTTTTGTCTTTACAACACAGAATATACGCTTTATTATTAGATTGAGTGCACATGCAGCGTGTTTGGACGACAAATTGTGACTAAAGCGAATTGATTTCATGCACCACAATTTAAGCAGTACACTTTTAAATCGCGAGTGCCGTATCTTCCCTTTTTGTTTTAATCTTAGTCCTTTCCGCAAGAACCTCCTTAAAGCGCCTACTGACACGCCTAAGCATGTAACTGCTCAATGTTTGAATCTAAAGGAAATATTACAAGAAAAAATAAAAAAAAGAACTCTATTTTTCTAGTAATATTTTCTTTAGATTTAAACATCGTGCAGTCACATACTTAAAAAATGAAAATTAATTTAATAAATATATAAATAATGTTTATTTTTTTTATCCCACATGTGGGGTCGGTCTTTATATACTTCGATCACTTGTGACCAAACCTCATGCTCATTATGATCTGCCGCAAACTTGATCAAAATACGTACGCTGCGTGTGACAGCTACTAACCGACTGATTGCGAAATTGCCCCAATCGCGCTACACACACGGCAACGTGCAGGGCGGTTGGGACAATCTAGTGAGCAAGGGTGGTCGCGCACTCCTGCCGCAGGCCCGGTTTAGAAAATTGCCCCAACTTGCCTACACACATCACAATTCAGGAGGCAATTAAGGGTCATCCCCACTCTTACACCCTAGATTGTCCCTGCGGCAGGCATGTCAGTAGCCGCTTTTACACCCTAGATTGTCCCTGCGGCAGGCATGTCAGTAGGCGCTTTTAGAAAAACAAAGAGTGAGAAAACATAAAAAGATGTTTATTATCGGTAAGTCCTCAAGTAATGCCGTGCTCGAAGGAAACAGGGATATTTTTTTTAAAAATAAAGAATATGTATAAGTTTTGCTTCCAAAATTGGCAAGTATTTAGATAATAGGTATTTTAAGAGGTACCTTAATACTTTTGTCAACGTCGTTGTCGTGTATGTTTTATACTTAGAGATTTGTTCTTAAGAAATCATGTGAAGCCACTTAGGACACGAAGCATTATGGTCAATCTCAGGGCTGGATTTAAGGAAGGTCTGTGGCCACAACAGTGAAAACCAAATTTCGACGGGTCTCCAAATAAAGGAGGGAGGTCAAATCGTAAGTAATCAGGCCCACCCAGTTTTAGGGGCCTCCACTCCATCGTTGCCCCAAGGTCCTCACACATCGAAATGCGGTCCTGGTCAATAGCGATGATCACAGAACACAGCAAGACGTTAGAAGTGTGGTCATGGAACTTTTCTACGGGAACCGATGTCGCCAGCTCGCCCTCACTTCACTTCCACCTAATAGATAATAGCCAATCAAACGAAACGACGTCAAACAATCGAACGAATTAGCGCTCACACCGTAGAGCAGCGATTCAATCGGAACCAAGTTTTGGTCAAGTTATGAGCATTTGCTCACACATAACTGTGGCTCTTTCAGTGTTCTGTGACAATGATTATCTGTTTTTCTTGGTTTATCAGTCAGATAATCAAAAAGTATTGGACATGTTTGTAGTGTTGTATTTTTTCTTTTTTTCACATAATCAAAAACATTACAGAGACAAAGATTTTTTTTACTAGGAAAAAATTCACGCAGTCCAGGCATTAGAAGGTGGTATTTTTTTTTTATTTATGTTATAGGGGGCATCCGAGCAGACGGCTCACCTGATGGTAAGTGATAACCGTCGCCCATGGACACTTGCAACACCAGGAGTATCACAAATGCGATGCCGGCCTTTAAGGAAGGAGTACGCTCTTTTTTTGAAGGTTTTTGTATGAACGCCGGGTTTTTGAGGCACTATTTGACACACTATTTATACATATAGAATTGATAACGAGAAAAGTTAATTTTCTATGAGAACTATTATGGGTACGCCAGGTTGACGCCAGCTAAGAATGTTTAGTTCAATATCTTTGGTCCTTTATGAGTATTGATTATGAAATTTTGTAAAGCCAGGGCACTCACTATTTACGAACTATTTTTGTCTGTCAATTTTGTTGCTTAAATATATGCCGTTCTTGGGGTCGGCCATGGGTACGCTAGCTTGACGTCATGGTAGAGTACACAGTAAAAATGGTCTTTATTTCTTAAATTAGAGAGGCACTATTTTTTTTATTTTTACACTAATTTGGCACTATTCACGCAGTATTTAATGGCATAACGAAAAACCGTATATTGATCGTGGGTACGCTAGCATCACGGACACTATTTAAATATACTTATTTAAGTATCTGTATGTGTTATTATCCATTACCCCAGTGCCATAACACAAGTCTACAGTCCTTACTTCTAAGCTAATTAAAGCGCTGCAACAGACTGAGAAGGTGTAAAGCTTCTAATGCTGTACCTGTAATAACCGCTGCCGTTATGTGCATTTACATTTGGTCATTAGCCCGATATTTATTTTAATCCTACCTTCAACATGTACTATGCGATTCAAATAAGAAATAGGAAAGCCTATGACCTCCATCTGTCAAATTTCGCTTGAAAAGTACGGTTTGCAAAAAAATCTTGGAACACTTTTTTTAGCACTGTACTAATCTTAGAATAAAAATCAAACATTTGTAAACAAAAGAAGAAAATAATTCATATGAAACGTATAGAAAATGAGAACGAAAAAAAATTATCGAAAATGATAAGAACTTTAGTTTTATTATAAATTAGGTAATAAAAAGACCGTTTTTATTTTATAGTCGAAAGCAGCAATGATGTTGACGACTACTCCGACGGTAATGAAGAGATGAGCGAAATTAAAGAGCTAGATTCTGATTTATGTTTTCTGTCACTGTTTTATTAAACAAATATTAATAAAAATGTGTTATTTTTTTCTCACTTAATCTTTGTAAGTAAGTTTTATCAGAGAGAAACTTTTTTGCTCACTCTACCTAACTGGTTTGAATTGACAGCTATGACGTCACAATATGGCGCCCAGTCGGTCCTATTCATAATTGAATCGCGTTGTACGGAGACCTTATCATTACTCTTACCCATTAGCCCGAATTCGGGTGCACGAAAGATATTACTCGAATTCGGGCATCCGAAGCAATATTTACAGTGGAATACAGGCTGGGAGAAGAAGTCGGGTGAACAAAAGGAAATCTACTCGAATTCCATTGGCACTCGTATTCGGGCTAACGACTAACGAAGTGTACCTAATCGCGTCATTAGCTTAGCCCGAAAAGCGGAAGGTGCTGGTTTGAAACCAGCCTGATGACTGGACCTAGTGGTCTTTTTCCTAGCAAAATTTTCTTTATATTTATAGTCAAGGCTTACTTACCTCTTCGTTAATTTTGCATTAAAAAACATTTGAAATGGAGCTCGATGGCGCATTTGGTTAGCGCGTTCGGCTGCGATCGTTGAAGTAAAGCAACTTTCACAGTGGTCGGTCACTGGATGGGTGACCAAAATTTACTATCTCGAGCTCCTCCGTGCTTCGGAAGGCAGGTTAAGCCGTTGGTCCCGGCTGCATCTGCAGTCGTTAGCACCCACCAATTCGCACTGGGCCCGCGCGGTGGGTCATGGCCCAATCTCCCTATTCCATCCATAGGGAAGGCCTGTGCCCCAGCAGTGGGGACATTAATAGGCTGATGATGATGATGAAATGAACTTAAAAACAAACACAACATTAAATCAAAATTTATATATTTACTGTTTTTTTCTATAACTATATTGGATTGATATTGCACAACAATAATTGTTTTTCAAACAAATTAATGTTTCAGATCATTGCTTAAAAAATTGTAATTTAAAATGATTGCTTTTGATAGGATATCTGTTTTATCTGATGATTGAAAAAATCTAGTTTGTAATGCGATTCAAATAAGAATAGGAAAGCCAATGCCCTCTATCAGTCAAATGTCGCTTGAAAAGTACGGTTTGCAAAAAAAATCTTGGAATCCCTTTTTAGCACTCCGCTAATTCAAGAATAAAAACCAAACATTTGTGAACAAACAACAACAAATATTGATAATTAATATCGGTTGAAATTTTTTTTTCACTTATTGAGCTTTGGCCATGGATGATTGATAACCTCAATCGTCAACCAAATGTCACTAAGTTTGACAAAGTTTTAAACATTCAGAAACTCGATTTCAAACTTTCGTTTACATAAAGGATGCATGTTCGTATGTGACGTAGTAATAGTGCATGATTAATCATAACTACTCCGGCGGTAATGCAGAGATGAGCGGAATAGAAGAGCTAGATTCTGATTAATGTTTTTTCTCACAGTCTTAATAAATAAATATTATTAAAAATCGGTGGTTTTTTTTTACTCAATCTTAGTAAATAAATGTTATTAAAAAATCTGATGCCTTTTCTCACTTAATCTTAGTAAATAAGCTTTATTAAATAAAAACTTTTTTTTGCTCACTCTACCTATTTGGTTTGAATTGACAGCTATGACATCACAATATAACCAGTCGGTCCTATTCTTAATTGAATCGCATTATACTTAATATTTATACAATATTTCAAACAGCTAGTCAGTTTACATTAAGTGATGGCCCATAACACTCAATATTCTTTTATCTCTTTTAAATCGATGAAAAACCTCGGCCTTAGTAATAAAATCACTAATACAATATTGCGTTATTTTTTTTGCTTCTACTAAAGAAAACTGATTCGTGGCAAGGAACAGTATGTCATTAAGAGGGGAACCGCACAATGTTTTTTCCATACAAACATTCTCGACTGATTCCTCCATGTATTCTATTTTTATCACTAAAAAATTGATTTTCATACATAAAATATAATTTTACTCATTCTATGCTCCCTTGTCTTCTTGAAGTAAAATCAATGATAACATGTAAATTATATGTTTATATGGGTAATAAGATTCATTGACTCATTTGTAAACATGACCACCAAGAAATCACTGAGTAACGACAGAAAAAGGCAAAGGGACAGCCAACGCGAAATGAATGAAATAGGAATGAGACAAAAAATGAGTCAGACTTATGTGACAAATTAGGAAAATACTCAACAGTTTAATGCAGAACTAATCAAATCGGTTCAATTAATTGGTGACCTATTTAAGGCATGAGTTTTTGGTGTCGTGTCAATGTTTGAATTCCTGACACTATTAGTTGCAAAGAGAGAACCGTCACCTTTTGACACTGTTTCCTCTTTCAGCACTGAACCATTTTTAAGTTTGTAGCAAGGAAAATAATGCCTTACTCTCTACGACTCAAATCACCATTTAACTCGCACCACTAAACTGATGCTATATCACTCGCTGCCATACTGATGCCATGATTTGACAACAAATGACTCTTCAAACTGCATTTCTGTACAAAGGTCAACTCGCAAACATCACATTTGAACCGTCTATCGTTGTTATGTATTCTCATGTGCTCTCTCAAAGTATACTTTCTTGCGTAGGACTTAAGGCATATTTCACATGAGAATTTCCTTTCACCGGTATGCTTAACCATGTGAGCTTTAAGCGCTTTCTTGCTGAAAAACCTGTAACCACACTCAGTACACTGACAATTCTTCTCCATCAAATGGTTCTTCTTTATATGATACATGAGTAGAGTCTTCAATAAATAAGCTTTGTTACATATATTGCATTTGTAACGAGCCTCTGAATTGTGCACTTTGACTAAATGCTGATTCCGCTGATAGTAATTACGGAATGACACATCACAGTATGGACAGTTGCCTACGTTCCTAGCTCCAGAATGGTTAGTTTTCACGTGATAATGCTTTTTCGTTTTGGTTGCGAATACTTTCTCGCAGTAATCACATTTGAAACTGCCTTCCTGGTGAGTGGCTAAGTGGGCACTGAGAGATCTTTTCACAGCGAATGTTGCATCACATTTACTGCACGAATAGTTGCTGTAATGTATATTCATGTGTTGTTTAAGCATTTTGAACGTCTCATAAGTGCTGGAACATAAAGCACAGTCGTACACATCACCTTTTTTCAGCTTAAACTGAAGGATGAAGTCTTTTATGTCGCTGTGTATGGTTTTCCCGTGGGCTTTGACCAAATGCTCTTTTAGTTCGTTCAAATTATCCATTCCTTCGTTGCACAGTTTGCACGATAGGTCAGTCACATCCAATTTCACTGTGTATTCTCTGTGATCAATACTCAATTTGAGTTGTAAACGGTCTTTCTTATGGTCTGTTTCGACATGAGATCTTAAATTCGCTGGGTCCGGGTGTGTTGAGTCGCAATAACCGCATATATAGCCCAGTAGTGATCTGTTCTTGAATGGTACAGCGTTGGAGAAGTTAAGGATGGTCTTGACATTCTCCTTGTGTTTGGTTTTGTCGTTGCCAGCCGGTGAAGCCCATATTATGTTGATTTTCCTTTCGCTGGTTTTTTTAGGAGTTTGTTTCTGCTTAATGTCGAGCCCTCCTGGAACAATGTATAGATTTATGAACAGAATTCGTGAAATAAGTTTCTTGTTTATGATAGTTGAGGAGCTGGCGAACAAAACGGTATAATTATGCATGTGGTCAAAATACTATTTTTTTCACAGTCTTATGGAGGTTTTGAGCTTGCTGAATTTAAAATCTTAACTTATTTTCCAAGAAAACCGCCTAAAACAGTGTTTAAATTTCCAAATTAATTAATTAACAACCACGCCAAAAGCTCACTGTAGATGTGTCATTCAGTTTTTTACTGCTCATGTAAAATTTAATTTTATGTAATTAAACCGTTTTGTTCGCCAGCTCCTCAGTTTATAGCTTGACCGCTGAGAAAAGCCCTATTAGACTACCCAATTTTAAGGGTCCCTTACCCTGACTAAGCGTGGTGTAATAAGAGTTAGGGAGTAAAGGACCCGATCTGGGGCACATGCCTTCCCTATGGCTGGAATAGGGAGATTGGGCCATGACCCACCACGCGGGCCCAGTGCGGATTGGTGGGTGCTAACGACTGCAGTTGCAGCCGGGACCAACGGCTTAACGTGCCTTCCGAAACACGGAGGAGCTCGAGATAGTATTTTTTTGGTCACCCATCCAATGACCGACCAGTGCGAAAGTTGCCTAACTTCAACGATCGCAGCCTTACTCCCTTGCGCCCTATCAAACGGGTAGTGAAATAGCTTTTAGTCAGTAAGGTAGCTCAGTCGACGCCCTGAGAGCGTATAGAACGGACGCACATACAGGTATTTGCCCGATCTACGCGGCCAAAATTATTTTTTTGCTTAATTGCTATCTAAAGAATGTAAATAATAAAAAAAACATTTTTTCACAAAAAACAATATATTTTTTATACAAAAAACCATTACAAAATTACTTTTTTATCGGTACTTAAAAAAACAGAAAATTAATGTTAAGTTTCTTGATTTTCTTCGTCGCTCTCTGATGAATTATCTGATGTATTTGCATTCGCAGATACAAACATGGCTAAGGTTTCAGGCAAAAATGTGCTTGCTTTCCTTTTTTTTATAGTTCGCATGCTACTTAGCATAGGATCTGAACTTAGCAGAAGGCGGTTAAAAATATCCTGATTACAGCTTTCTCTCGAAAATTTCCTCGCAAAATCTTGGCGGTAACATCTGAAATGTTTATTGCGAGCCTCAGCTGCTTCCTCGGAAAGCTGTCCGATTGGTAACAATGCCTTTTCGATGATGACTGCGCCATGGACTAAAATCTTGTGCATTGTTGGAGTCATGGGATGCCAATCATATAAATTCACATAAAGACAAGCAGTTTCTGAAGCATATTTTTCATATTTAATATGGTCAATTTGGAACCTGCTTGAAATTGCTTCCAATATGACTTTCAGTCTATAAATTAATTCATAACTGATACCAGTTATTTCTGAGGCTAATTTCGGGTTCTCAAAGAACCTTCTGCTAGTATTGCCATCATTTGTATTTCCAAAATTTGATTTAGGCATATCTATTATCAGACCTGTTTCAGAGCGAAACCTTGCTTGTATTTCTCTTTTGGTTTGTTCTTCTAGATCTTTCTCCTCTTTTGATTTTCTTTCTCTATATTTTTTCACTTTAAGTTTGTACGCTAAATGAAGGATACTTTCAAAAATTCGAATTCTTGCGTGTAACACTGATATGCCGAATTCAAGGGCTGCAAAATTCACCTCTCTTGTAAAGTCCAATTTATTAAAATCTTTCGAGGTCGCTCCACATATGTAGCATCTACTAGTAGACTTTGTGCCTGTAGCTGCATTGCACACTTTTCCGTCTACCATGGTCATTATAAAAGTGTGCTTAATAAAAAACTTTTTCCCTGATATGTCCACCTCTGTTGGGACTAAAGAGCTGATAGCGTTTTTTACGTGTCTTATTTCCTCTTCGGTGACATCACTAGTTTCCTTGATGAACCGGAATCTTATTGGTCGACAAAATCGCGGCGAAGAGGGTGTTGGATTATTCCATAGGATTTTTTCATTATTATTTCCACAAACTAATTGAATAGGCACGAAGCAGCTTTGAAATATGTTTGAGTCAGTATCAGTATCACTTTCTAGTTTTTGCTTAAACTGTGATTGTTGGGACCCATCGCAGCCCCATTTACTAATAATAGTTAAGCATTCACGCTCTTTCTCCTTTAAGTTTATTAATACCTCTTCAAGGTACTCCGATAAGCGCCTTACGGTAACATCTATTAGAGGCTGTAACTGAGCTTCCGCACTGGTACTCGTTATTGTAAAAGATTCTTGAGGTGGGTAACATTTCTTCTTGGCTTTTTGCAAGGCGCTATAGCACGGAAAAAACTTCTTATTAGTCTTTCTTATAATTTCGTACTGTCCTTGTGTCAAGTCGGCATCTACAAACATTTGCAAAGCTTGCATTGGTGTCAAGGAGGGTTGCTCTTTACTGGATTTCGAAAGATAAAATGCTTTTTTATATTTGGTTGCTCTTGTCGGAGTACTGGTGATATCTTTTAGGACATTTGATGCATCTTTTTTACCAGATTTTCCGAGTTCTTGTTGCGCAGCATGTATTATGATATCCTTGTCAAAATTAGAACGAAGTTCTTCAGTCTTTCGCCTTTTGCTCCTCTCACTTGCGTCTTCGAACGACTTCGATGGTCGACCTGGCCGTTTTTGTAAAGTCTTAGCTACAGGTATTTCAAAAGTACCCTCCAGCCAAGACTGGTTATATTTTATAAAATTATCTTCTTTATAATGAGCTTTCGTCCACCTTTGTTTGATTTCTGATTTGAAATGGGCAAAACTACGTTTTAAATTAAAAATTTGGTCTTCATTGTAACCTTCACTTGACAAAAGTTGATCTTTTAGATGATTTAGTTTGGCATCCAAATTAGGCAAATTTTCCTTCTTCATGCGGTCAAACAAGTACTGTCGGGTCACAATCCTTACTCCTGATGAACCCTCTCTACCTAAAACAAACAAATACTATGTTAGAAGTCGCTAGAAAATATTTCTAATTTTAAGCGTTTTTTTTAAACATCTTTAATCCCTGAAAACTGTTTTTATCCGGACGTTTCCGGATAAGATTTTGATAGTTATTGTAAGCAAAAGGATCAAATAATAAACTGTAATAAAAATCATAGCCCGATCTACCACGATACATAAACAAAAACACTGATAACAAAAAAATATAAAAGAAATCACGGTACGAAAACGAGTATTTTTATCATAAAAATAAATTGGTATTACAATAACTGATAAAAACTTTATTTATATAGTTTGTTAGTCCCTTACCTTGTTCATCAGAATCCATCACTTTTGATTCAAAAGAAGAACTCGATAACACAAAAATTCACTTTGGAAGTTTGGTGTTTAGAAAATCGCCGAGAACAGATACGTACACTAGGTGACACGGTCAAATTCCGACTGACGCTACGGGTGCGGGTTGCGCGGTAGCAGGTAGAAAGGGCACGGGTATTGTTCTCGGGTCCGCACTCCGTTCCTGGAACTCGAGTTTAGGAATATTATTGTTATTTTGATTTTCGCACTTTTGGCCGCGTAGATCGTGTAAATACCTGTATGTGGGACGTTTTGTAGTCGAATTAGTTTATTGGCGCGATGGCATCTAATGAAGAGAAAGTGAGTGTTACTTAATTTTGTGTGTTACTTGAGATCTATAATTTTTGTGGCAATAAGAAATCAAAAATTATACAAATAAGGCACATATTTAAATAATCAACCTTCGCCGAGTTACCCTCCAACTTTCATGCTCGTCGGTGCGACACTGTCACTTATGCAAAGTCAATTTTCTTCAGGATGAGCGTTTAAATCTTTAACATCCCAAAACATATTTAAAGATTTTTACGTGATGAAAAGCTTATACTGCTTAGCTATACATCTAAAAAAAATTAAAAATAAACTTTAAATATGTTTTGGGATGTTAAGTTTTAAACGCTTCTCCTGAAAAAATGTTTTTTTTGCATATGTGACAGGGGTGATTATATATACAGTGCGTCCTGTATATACAGGGTGTGACAAAAGTCCGAAATAAAACTTTAGGGTTTGGTTGTGTTCCTTGTATAGAATTACCTACGAAAGTTTGACGCCTTTCAGACTACTTTTATTTTCTTATTAAATTAATAAAAATATCGTTTTACACCTGCCTATGACCACCCCATAAATGCGTACGATTACTACTACCTAAACAGACCCCCCTCTCTCCCCCAGGCGCCCCTACGCCCCGCTCAGATACCTACAAATTTTTATTTCGGAATACATACCTACAAAATTTATTTCGGAATTCTGTAACACCCTGTATATATATATATAATCGTGTGACGCTTATGACGCATTTCCGTTTCATCTTTTCCATAGGATTATTCCATTTACACCCCGTCCGAATAGAAGATTCACTTCAAAAATAATTTCTAATTTAATGACTTTTTAGAAGAGTTATTTGTTTCCTTTGAATAGTAAAGTCGCTGCTAATATTAAATACATAATGGTGTCGATTCTAGCATGATTCTCTAAACCTAAACTCAAATTTGACAGCAGTATATCCTTGTCATTCTCTATACAGAATGAAAAGGAGAGACTGATGTTAAATTTAGTTATAAGTTTAGAGAATCACGTCAGAATTGGCACCAATATGCCAACAATAGGGATGATGACTAAATTTTTTTTCTTCGTTTATCAGGTAGATTATCAAAGAGTATTGGACACGTATTTTTTCTTTTTTCACATAACATAAACATTGCAGAGATATATTGATTTGAAAAGGCGCATGACGTCACGTGTGATTACACTTTTAAGTGAAAATTCATCGAAAAGTGACGTCATGAGCCTCTACTCCCAAACTTTGACGCGTTATAACTTTGTCATTTTTTGGTTGATTGCCCAAAGAAAAAATACGTGTCCATTATTTTTTGATCATCTAACTGACGGACTAAATAGAATTTCGTTTACTGTAACCCTGTCATCACCCCTATTGAGGAGCGTCTGTTCAAAGTTATTTTATATATTTTGGCATAAATGTAGCTTCCAATAAAAAAAAAACAACTTCAAAAAGTTTATTTGTTGATGCTATTTATTATCATTCCTGATCAAAAGATGCTATTTTCCGAATATCCGACCAAAAAGTGCTGTTTCAATTTTTAATTACTTAATTTTGTGCTTTTTAATAATAATAATAACAACAATAAATAAATTTACCCTAAAAATAAGTGGCCTCCTCATGAATTACCTGAATAAAAAAAATACACTTCACATACATCATCAAATCGGCATACGTTTTTTTAATTTTATCAACATTTACTTAGCATGGAAATAGCCCCTTTCCAACAGATGGTCCTCAATTGGTAATTTATTCTATTAGCCTATTTATTTTATACATGGGCGAGAAAGTAGTGTATTATTAAACTTACTGATGCTAGAGAGTCGTTTAACCACAGACTTGAGTTTCTCATCCCCCCATTTCCCAGCAGCACTAGTAACCGGTTTGATATTATTCTTTGTTTTCTTCTGTTCCAATTTCTTGACTATTTTACATTCTACTTCTTCTTTGATATTGTCCATGGGTACATCTTCGACTGTAAAAAGAAAGAGGGGAGGTTTCAATATGTTTTTAAAAAGGGGTTTCTATTTTTTTTTATGTTTGTATTAAGCGTAAGCTATGTCGTCATATTTTTATTTTTTAAGCAACGATATTAAATACCCTAGATACACCACGTGCGCTCAAAATGTGTCCCAATGAAGAAGTGCTTGAACTCCACTTAAGCACTTCTTGGTTCACAGTCACGCGCGGACCGTTGAAAAGTCAACATGCCGCAGAGCTTCGTGAACAAATGCAAAAATATACTTTTAGTACGTAAAGTGTAGTTTTTTCGACTAGTATCTAATAAATGTTTGTTAATTTAACGCATTTGAAGCAAATTTTATCCTAATACTTACTATAAACAGATTTAATGGAAAATATTTGTAATATTCAAATGCCTAGTTGGTTATTCTATAGCCGTCTCTTTTCCTCGCGGTCCGTACCTGCTATATTGCTAACAGCGCATGTAGTATTGCGGGTAGAGTCAAAGAAATAAAATCTATATTCTTCCGCATATAGCAATAAGTCGTAAATTTTACGAGCTTGCATTACGAGCTGTCATAACTGTGACGCATGCGTTTTAATTAAGACCTTATACAGTATGCATTAAAGATGACTTTCAATGTTTAAACAATGCCCCACATTGTTTTTAACAAACGCGATCATCTTACGGAGCTCTGTGGATCGTCCAATGTACCTTTTGAACAGGTTTCGGCCACGATTTTGTTCGTGTTGTTGTATCTAGGAGTTTTAATATCGTTGTTTTTAAGCATTTAACTACTAAATGTTAAAATCTAAAAAAAAAGATTACTAAAAAAAATTTACGCAGACTAGGCAGCAGACGGGACTCGAACCCACACCCTCCGCTATCCGGGCGGATGCAGTGACCATTATGCTACCGCGGATTTAATTGTCCGTGTCGAATTATCTCTAGAAATTCTTAGGCTGCAAGGCAGCGGCCATCTCTTCGGATTGTAGTTAACCCACAATGTCAAATGAATACTTTTACAATATTAAACATTTCAAAGAAGAAATATCAATTAAAATTACACTTAGATGCATATAAAATAAAAATATATTATATATTTTTAATATATTTACATAAGCAATAAAAGCCAATGTTAAACTTACTGATGCCATCGAGTGATGTTACCACAGACTTTAATTTCTCATCCCGCCATTTCCCAGCTGTACTAGGGACCTGTTTGTTATGATTTTTAGCTCTCTTCTGTTCTAACTTCTTGACTATTTTACACTCCAATTCTTCTTTGATATTATTTATAGGTACATCTTCAACTGTAAAAAAAGCATGGGAAGGTTGAGCATGTCTTAAAAAAATGGCTTTCTATGTTTTTTTTTTGTTTTAAGCATTAGCATCGTTTTCAGCCTATTAATGGTCCCCTGCTGGGCCACAGACCTTCCCTATGGATGGAACAGGGCCATGCTTTTTATAACTAAAGAAAATTTCAATTTTCATTAGTGCACTACCAGCGACCTGCGACTTCATCTATGTAAATTTAATATTATTAGTATGTTCAATAGCTTTTGCGTGTTTGAGTAACGAACATACGAACTTTCACATTTACAATATAAGTAGGATTTGTTGGGATTGTGATAGATGATCAATAAAGTCCAGCCTGACACCTTGGAAGAGTAAAATTATTTTTGTTTCTTAGGTTTTCACGCACATCACTCATTAAATAAAACTAGTTTCGTGCATTAACCCGTAAAAACTAGTTTTATAAAATTATTTTATTGTAAATAAAATTTTTACAGAAATCATTTGCCCCCAATCTAAGTATAGCTTGTTTTACTATGAGTGCAGGATAATGTACAAAACTAACTTTAATGTATAACTTTTTTTTTCTTTTGCATTGGTAATAACAATCTTAAAGAAAATGATAGTGAGGTGTTTGCAAACCTCCAGTGGTCAGAAATAACAAAATGAAATCGTAAGTGATAGCGATAGCCATATCCCATTAGGCGATTGGCTCCATGTGCTCTATTAGGGCACATTAATAGGGTGATAACATAAATGAAAAAAATTAGTGTTCATACATAATAGCTACTAGGTTATTTTTAAGCATTTGATAGTTAATCTAAATAAAATTCAATTTCATATCAGCACTCACCTGCATCTCCAGTAAAATAATCATCGGATTCATCATGAATATTTGTCTGTGCTTCCAATTTTATTTTAGGTGGTTTTTCATCTGAAAAAAAATATCCACTTTATTACAAGTTTTAAGAGCAGTAAAACTTAGCAGATTTGCAAATGGTGATAAGATCACAGTTAAACAACACTACCTTTGTGGAGCTTTCTCTGTGGCTTATCGCACCCCGGTGCGACACTGTCACTTATGTAAAAACATATTTTTTCAGGAGAAGCATTTAAAATTTAACATCCCAAAACATACAATATTTAAAGATTTTTATGTGATGAATAGCCTATATGGCTTAGCTATTCATCTAAAAAAATTAAAAAAACTTTAAATATTGTATGTTTTAGGATGTTAAAGTTTTAAACGCTTCTCCTGAAAAAATGTGTTTTTGCATAAGTGACAGTGTTGCACTGGGGGTGCGAATTATGCGACAGATAATTTACTACTTATAAATTAGTATATTACTTACTCAAAGTACTGTCTGCACTTGCCATTTATAAATACATATTATTTACATTTATAACAGACTCTTTGTCAATTTCTTAGGTATGAGAATTTTGATAAAATAAAACAAAATATGACTTACTAAGCACTGTTATATGAAAAACTTTTGGATTGTATCCAAAGATTTTAGTAGTAGCATAGCAAGTGTGACTAAAAGAATGTTTTTTTTTATATATGTTCAGGCATATTATTGTGAGTTAATCTTTATATATATAAAACTCAAAGGTGACTGACTGACATACTGATCTATCAACGCACAGCCCAAACCACTGGACGGATTGGGCTGAAATTTGGCATGCAGGTAGATGTTATGATGTAGGCATCCGCCAAGAAAGGTTTTTGATCAATTCTACCCCCAAGGGGATAAAATAGGGAATGAAAGTTTGTATAAAACTGTCAATTTTTAACCAATCTGGCTGAGACTTTGCATGCAGGTATAAGAAGAATCATAGATGAATGTCATTGTGTACAATACAAGCCTGAGAAACTGTAGTCTAAACTTCATATCTACACCGAAGCGAAGTGAGGGCGGGCGGCTAGTTACATATATTTACTTATATTAACATTAAAAATGTTTTTTCGTTCGCTCCAGTAGGCCCCCATTTTAGCTGAAAGCACGACTCACTGGTTATATTCCGAGGTTTAGAGCCACGGCTTTAGATAGATTATTTAGGAAAAATTGGTTTTGAATAATAAATTTTATAGGTGTTGAAAAAAATTTTTTTATTTTTTATTGATAGATTCATTTTCAATGCCCTTTCAAGCCCTGTAGAGCATGAGATATGTGATTTTTTTTCCTTTGCTCTTAATTATTAATGTTGCATCTCATTAGATAGCTATCAAATATTATTTTAAATAAGTTTTTAGTGTTATCATAATAAATAAAACCTACCTTGCTCCCCGTTGATTCTCTTTAGAAATTCTTCTTCAGCTTTCAGGACCTGTTCTTTGAAACGGAATGAAACTCTCAAATCCTGTATGCATGTGATGCATATTTTTGCTGACTTGGAACTGTGCAACTGTAAAAACAATAGTGCAGAAATGTTTGTAACATAAACATAGTTTACTTTAGCTCGTAAATTAATAATGTCTGACAAAACCATAATCACTGGGCATTTGCATGAAGTTAATTTTGGGTACCCTGGGTTCCTACAAAAATTAAGCCATCATTTTAAATAAAAACATACACATAAAGTTTTCAAATAAAATGAAAAGCTTCTTTCCTGTGGCAGTAAAATAGTTTTTAATGGACACTATGAGATCTTCTTTGAAACTCTCAATTTTGGACAAATCTAGAGAAATCCTGACGGATGGCAGTCCCACATAGGCATACTTGATACTATGTGATGGAATGTAAGTATCAGCACAATTTCTGAGTTTCCATACTGTAAAAGGCCCTCACTCTTAGATAAAGAGCTCTCTTAATTAAGTTTTAATGACCGTATTGAATTGGGCTTCACAATATTACGTACGATATGCGGCATACGATATTGAGAATTTGAGACCTATCTGGTTGGTCGCTGAATATTGTGCACACTATAAAAACTATACAATCTCCGTTTTCTAATTAGTAACTTACTATGATCCTGAAACAGTCATTTAGCATGTTGGAATAGATTTCTTCTTTATCAAACCATTTGTAGGGACTATTTAAATCTTTAAGAACGCCTTCTGAAAGGCAACAGCGGCACAAATTCTCCGTTTGCATTTTATAAGTTTACTTTAAGTAAAAATAAATAAAATCGTTCATTTCATTTTCGCCCGTAAAATAGACACAGATTAACTATAAATCTACAAAGATAGGTGTCGATTCTGTCATGTTTTTTTTTTGATTCTGTTCACTCCGTTCTTTAAACGGAAAAGGCAGAGACGACAAAATGCGTCATACAGCCATCATGATTCTTTAAACTTAAACCTAATTTTAAAATCAATTTCTTTATTCATTTTGTATAGAAAATGACAAGGATACTCTGGCTGTTTTCCAATTACAGAGCATAATGCGACTCAGTTGCGCACAATGCCGAATTATGCTGATGCTTAATTGGAACGTGAATTAGTTTTAAAATGCACCAGCAGAGTGCGCTAAGTTCAGTGTGGAAAAAAAGTCAATGTTTGTACTTTCATCCATACTTATATTTATTTTTTAACACAGTTTGAATTAACTTTGATTATTTAAAAAAATATTATAATGAAACGAAAGCTTTAATAATTTTTCAACAATAAATAATATTACTAACGATATTAAATAAATAAAACATTTCGATCAATGCTAACTTAAAGAAAAAACACTTGTTAATTTTTTGTCACTGAGTTGGTACGATTGCACGCATCACACGAAAGCATTACTTTTGAGAGTGCTCGATTGTGCGAAGCGTTGCTGTAGTTGGAACCACGGAGGAAAAACAAAGAGGAGGTGTGGTGATTAAATTTCCTCAAGAAACGACGCGTGATAATTTGCGGGATGCGGGGTGTTCAGCTCCGCCCACTTCTCAATATTTCATCTATCGGCTAATAGCAAAACTAGCTTAGGTTGATATTTATGTTACTACGTAGTAGTTCAGCTATCTAACACTAGATGTCAAAAGTTTTGTTTATAATGGGACGTACTCAGAACTTGAAGCTTCAAAAAAATTAAATATGTAGGTAAATAAATAAAATAAACGTTGACAAATTTGACCGATTATAAAAATTTTAAGGTATAAATTTTATTATTTTAAAACATGTAACTGCTTGATGAAAAAAAATCCAGGCAGACCAGGCAGCAGACGGGACTCGAACCCGCACCCGCTCCCGTCTGCTGCCTGGTCCGCGTGGATATTTTTCTAGTTCTATTTTCTTTAGATTTAAATTTTAAGGTAGTTTAAAAATAATAGACAAAATGTTATTACAAACATAATTTTATTAAAAAACATCAATTACCTGTAAATAATAGTTTTGGTTAGTTGTTGTCGGTTGGTTGCCCTATCGTTTTGTATTGTGGCAAAATGCTTAAAACGAATATCAATATATTTTTCTGCAATCGATTTCATCAGAAATACAACATGATTAACTGTAGGTGATAGGTCAAACATATGGTTGGCCGATTTTTTGAAACAATCTTGTCCAATAAGTGATTTTAATGTATTCGATACAATTTTATGTTTACGAAAGTTAGGAGTATTCAAAGATTGAGATTTAACACAACGAATACTGTCTTCGGTCCGTATACATATTTTTATGACATCTCTAGATGGGTAAGTAAGACCACCACCCTTATTTTTAGATTTTATCAAATCAAGGTCACTATCGTCGTAGTTATCAGCATATAATTCTTTGAGACAGCTCTCACATTTGATCTTGGAATGTAAATATTTGACCACATACCCAGAAATATATGCTACTATTTGACGGCGCAAATAGTCACCTATAGTTGTATTTAATTGTTCATCAAATTCCAATAACATATCGTCAGGCATAGGCTCGTAATCCGTGCTATCCGAAGACTCGAAACTCATTTTATTTAAAATGCGATAACGTTCTGATGTAATATTAATTTTTTGCACAGAAGATTCATTTAAAATGGAAATATTTTCTTCTTCTATGGTGTCCAATCCGGTCTATTAAGTTTTAAAATCCATTGCTGTTTTAAATTATCGTTGGATGGAAATCTAAAACGAACATAAAAATAATTAAAATTTATTTACTTGGTAAAATAATTTAATACGTATTACGGCCCTGGATATTTGTAACGTTTAAAAAGTTATTCTATATGACGACAGATGGCGGCCAGTTAGTTATATATTGATAAAATTACTGTTTTAGATACTAAAAGTTATTTAGGAATAAGTGTATAACAGTTTTCAGTATTTACGTATGATTATTACAATATACTTCTGCAAAATTATACGTAAACTTGTGTATTTTCTTCCTAAAAGTGTCGCCATCTGGTGTCAAGTAGTAGAATTTTAACGCTGATAGCTGAGGCTGAGAATGTTCTAGAACTTATATATTTAATTACGTATAAAATTACTTACAAATGAAATGTGATGCCATCCATATTATCAGAACGTCTGTCTGAGTAACTTTGACATAGTAAAACACAAAACTTCATCCTTTTCTTGTTAAAAACGCAAAAAAACACTTATAATGCGAGTCTCGTTAAGTGTGCACCTGACGAACGCTGAAAGCATACTGACTTAGGCCCCGCCCACAATGATGACGTCAGGACCTAGTTGAAAATCACAGTGCACAGTTGCTTAGGCCAGCTCCTCTTTGTTTTTCCTCCGTGGTTGGAACATTCAACGTTAAGCATTCTGCCGCATAATGCGCTCTCTATGTCTATTGTCAAATTTCAGTTTAGGTTTAGAGCATCATGCTAGAATCGACACCACAGCCAACTAGTAGCCTAGTTGGCTATGGTGTCGATTCTAGCTGCTACGGATTGAGCCATAGCACAGGCCACAGACTTACACAATAGTGGCTACTCGTCACTAGATGGCAGCACTCAATATCTCTAGGTTCTTTTTAATGTCTTCAGAATAACTTTGAGAGTATAAAAACCTAGTATGTGTATCACATTACTAAAAAGTACATAAAAAAACAAGAGTCGATGGCAGGATTTGCTTTGTCTTGTCTGTCAGTGAACAAAATGCAAAATGGTTGCTAGCGTTGGCTTGTATTCAGCGTAGCGGGGGCATAAATGTTATGCCGTAATTTAAGGTTTCTGTTTTCGTTAAGTATGGTGAGATAGTGCTGTGATAATGGAGTTCGACGAGATTGTGGTGAAAGAAAGCCCGGGGCTATGCCGGTGCTGTCTTTCTGAGGGGTGTTACAAGGATATGGGGACTGAATATGCGTGGATGAGCGAAACCGAAGTTTACGCTGAGATGCTGTTAGAATGCTTCGATATTAGCGTAAGTTATAAATTAACATGTCGACACTTTTAGAAAGTCTCCTTTTTATCAAATATTTTGGTACACCATGTCTGTAATCTTTGCTTTGTCCACAGTAGTTTAGTGTCAATCGCTCAATTGCATTTTTGTGATTAAAAATTCAAAACGTATATTAACTCGATAACAGCAGCCTTAGATATCAATCTATACATAATAGGGCTTAAAATTTTAAAGCTTTCAGGGCACTACGGGAAAAATTACATAGATCGATAAAAAATAAACTACCTTTATGGAGTTTGGTTTAGCCCTTTTTGAAGATTTCGGATAAAGGCCATTAAAAGCAACAATTTAGGTCATTAAAACATTTTTCCTAAAATGAATATTTAGTTATTTACAGAGTTATATGGATTTACACATTTCCAGAACTTATAAAATTTTCAGGATATTTTTGTTTCATGACTGATAATCCCCTCTTTTTTAACTTGTTTAAGTCATCGGCCCCAATGATTTATGTTATATGTATGACGTGCCTCCGACACTTAGTTATCCAGAAAATTGCATAAGAAAAGAACCCAAGTAAACAAAATAATAATCTATCCTTCCTATAATCTGGGGTCCTTTAACCCTTCAATTGCGGGAAAGCCTCCGCCTAAAACACCCCCCGCTTGCGGAACGATTGCGCGGCCGCAGCGCGCGCTCGACGCGGTTTGAAATTTATTCAATAACTTTAATAAATCGTTCGGTCGACATCCAGCAAAATATTTTATTTCAATTATAGATAGTCAATGTACCTTCTTTTTTAGTAATTTCCTATATAAATTGTTTCAACCTTTTTATTTTTAACAGGAAACGTAGACAAAATCAATTTCGCACCTTAGGTGGCATAAACGCGATTTGAATAAATTATACGAATACTTGTGCTTTTCATTGATAACCTTTTCAAAGTTGAATAACTAAACAATAGATTTTTGCAAAAAAATAATATACTGTTGTAATATAATGTTGTTAATAAACTGTTTTAAAAATTACTTTTTAGTTGCGAGCTCCCCCATACTCGATTTTAAAATCGTCGTACTAACGGTTGTTTGGTCATAAGAACGACTTCACCACAATGAGTGAATGGTGTATTCATCTGGGTATAAAATTCAAAAGACTTTGAACTGTATTGCATTGTATTTATTCCCAAAATTGCAAAAAATTGAAAGCGGGTGACGAGCGAGCCGATCTACACTTACCCAAACGGACTTTACTCATGAAGGCGTGCAGCGCTGCACTACAGCAATTGAAGGGTTAAGAGAGGTGTGAAGATGCACTTTTGCAGGCCAGCAAGGTGAGGATGATTGGTGAAGCAGTTTATAGCTGCTGTACCAGCTATCTTCGCGTTTGGACTTTATTACCACTTAACATCAGGTGGGGTAAAGTCATTTGCCTATCTCTATATAAAAAAAAACCCTATAAATTTCTAAATTTAATAACTCGAAAAATATGTTACAGAAAAAATTAGCATATCACAAAAGTTGTTCTTCATAATGGCTATCATTTGGCACAAGATAGGTAGTGGCAAAAGGGTAAAAGACTTAAAAATATATCAATATTTTCTAAGTCCACATAAGACTATTATTAAGACCTAACTTGTTAAGGCTATCATATGAACAACTTTTGGAATATGGTAGTAATTTTTCCAGAAACTTATTATTTTTGCATTATTTAATTTTGAAAATTTTTGTTTTTTTTCTTATTCAATTTTCTCACCATCTATTTGTCAGAGGCACGTCATGTATATATTATAAATCATTGGGGCCAATGATTCCAAGAAGTTGAAATAAAAAAAGAGAGTTATCAGTCACCGAAAACAAAACCTGATATTTTTTCTAGTTCTGACAATTATTAAATGTAATGATACAACTCTGTAAATATGCATTTTAGCAAAAAAGATTTCATGACCTGAATTGTTACTATTAATGCCCTTAATCCGAAAACCTTAACTTAAATATACTGTATATAATAATAATATTAAATAACTTAAATAAGGTCTGCAGAGTTAGTTGGCTGATTATAATTTTTTGCCAGAAAGATCGTATTTTCAGAAGGTATTCTGCAAAAAATTTAAAACCATGGAGCATCATTGTTTTTCAGAAAAAAAAAATTGGAAATTTTCACTTTTCATAGTAAATAACCATAAATATAACCATCATAATTATGACCATAAACAGTAATAATGTACATGTACATTTTTATGGTCTTTGCGATGAGGTTAAGTTTATCATACAGCCATCCTGCTGCCTGCTTGATGCTGTGTTGAATTTAATATGAATAATTTTGACAAAAAATTATGAGTGGAATTTATGGTGCGACACCCTTTAAAAGTTCTGGGACTTGTTGTGTTAAATTTAGCTGTCACTCATTCCTTTTAATTCAAAGCTGGGAAAGTCATAAGTTACGACGACACATTGAATATTTTTTAGCTTTAAACGGAATAACACATAGGTTGGAAAGAGTCTGCTAGTCTGAGTAAACAGCAATATTTAAATATATGTTTATTCAGACTTGGCTGTTACAAGCAAGCTAGTTCTTGTGTAAGTCAACAGTATTCCATAAGTTCATAAATCTACAACAGGAGATTTTGTACTGAGAAGAACTAGCAAACTTTTTTTTTTATAGATAGGTCCGACAAATGACTCCACCCCACCTGATGTTTAGTGAAGGTGAAGTCCAGATACGAAGATAGCTGATACAGCAGTTCTACCTGCCACACCAGCCATCCTCACCCTGCCGGCCTGCACGTTGCTTCTTCACGCCTCTTTTAAAGGATCCCTTTTAGTTAACAAATAAGGCTAACTACTATTATTAAAATACCATCTGTTTAAAACAATAATTTTTCTTCATTAGATTTCTCAACTCAACGATGGCCCCAACGGACCGAACCGTCTCATCTGTGAAGTATGCATCACCCGTCTACGGGATGCGTGCTATTTCAAGAAACAAGTGCTTGATTCTGAAAAGAAATTTGTTGATATGGTGGGAAGAGGAGATTTTAGGCCGAAAGGTAATTACAATCATATTATGTGGAATTGGCTGATGCAAAGTTGACTTTTACAAACAATTTGATAAGATATATTTATTGTGTCAGAGAAGCCATTGAATGATTCTCTCAATGACAAATTCAACTCTGCCCTGGGGGCCAATCACCTAACGGAATTGGCATGGTTATTGCTTTTGCTTACGATTTCATTTTGTTATTTCTGACCTTCCAAGGTTTTCAATTATCTCATGCTCATTTTATTTAATATTTTTATACCAATGAAAAAGAAAAAAAACATCGCGAGTCATTTGAAAACCTTCGGCGGTCAGAAATAACATAATGAAATCGTAAGAGATAACGATAAGCGATAGTCATAGCGATCCCGTTAGGCGAATGGCCCCCTGGTACGCGGCTGGACTGTGATATTAAAAGTTTGAAATGAAGAAACCTAGTTTTTAATAGTTAAACCTACCAAATTAGTATCTTATTTCAGAGGGAGCTCATTAGTTAAGTAATATTAGTGATAAATAAGCATCTTCATTTCAAAATCAGGAGTGTAAGTGTAAAATTTTTAGTCTTAGTAGTAGCAGGTTACTAATTTAAATATTGTCGCAATCTATTCACTGGTAGTAGGGTTGCCAGATGCTGGCTTATCAATTCCGGACATTTGCACCCCCCTGAAAAAATAATGTATCAAATCATATCCCTCATTACCCCCCAGAATTAAAACATCAAGCAGGCCAACAGTATCATTCTATTAGATTAGTTTCCAGAATTTAAACCACAATGTTAATTTTCCACTTGCTTTATTAAACTTGTACTTCACTGTAATATAAACTAAAATTATTATAACAAGAATATTTAGCAGCAACACCACGTTATATTTAGGACCACTATTCACGACGAAGGCTCTCGACTGAATATCGTATTTATGACCGCTCCACTCGCTAGTCCGTCCCCCCTTCACGTCACGTGATAAGATGGTGGGGAGGTAAGGTGATGTGGCGTGATTTAGCACAGACAAACTAAGATAAAAACAATAACTGTACTATTGACCGATCTGTAAAAAATGCTAATATTATAAAAATGCTAACAATTCGTTATTAGTTTTGTTACGAAACTAACACATTATCGGAATCCGGGACAATATGGTCCAATTACTGGACGCGGGCCAAACGCAAAATTCCGGGACAATCCTGGCTTTCCCGGCCATCAGGCAAGGCAAGCCTAACTGGTAGTCATTTCGTCTCTATAATTCTCAGTAAAATTTTACAAATATTTTTCTATAATTATTTCTTATCTTTTCATGCACACCACTCATAAATAAAACACTGCTCCAACAGATTTCAGATGCGAATTATAATGTTATTTTATACATTTCGTTACGTTTTGGATCCTTAACAGGCTCCGTATTTAAGAGTATGATTTTAAATATATTTTTTACTAGCTGTCCCCGCGGTATATTAGGGATCTTTTCCTGCAGTAAAACGTAGCCTATGTGTTAATCCAGAGTGTCAGCTAACTCCATACCAAATTTTATTAAAATCACTTCAGCCGTTTAGACATGAAGAAGTAAAAAACATACACACTCACAAATTTTCGCCTTTAAAATATTAGTTTGATTAATTTATATTTTTATTCATTTTCATATAGCGGTACTTCTGTACCAGTCGAATATGAAGACTGAATCCGGAGAGGAGTTGCAAGTGTCGTTGGAAATGGATGATGGTGGAGAAGTGGAGTACTTGGAGGATGAGATTGACTATGTTGATGGTGAGCTTGTCATTATATACTTCTTCTTTCTTTTTTAATGGCTTAACAGGGATATATCCACAATTCTGCCAGTTTCACATAGATAGCCACTACACGACAATGATTCTTAATAAAATTAAATTTGTATTGAGAAGTTGAAAATACTAATATAAAAATTCTGTCATTTCCTATGTTGATTTAACGACCCTGTAACAAAACACGACACATTTTATGGCATGCACGACAAAACATGCATATGATTATATATCCCGTGGTCTGTGTAAATGGATGATTTCTACCAACGTCACAAAAACCTTTGTCTGTGGAAGTAGTCGATTTCTGGCATGCAATATTGTAATACAATATTAAGATATAGAATAGATAAATAGAAATAGATGCAGAAAATATTTAAGATTAATTTCAGAGATAATTGAAGACAATAAGGTTCAGTAGAACTTGAAATATAACCAAGGGTTTTGATGGCCATTTTGCTTACACAGACTACAGAGTATACTCAGAGCCTTACGTGCAGGGTTGCCATTATGAGATTTGAAATGTTTCCGTGTTTTGGGATCTGGATTGCCGTGTTTTGGAATAAAAACTGCAACAATGCCGTGTACATTTTCAATTATTTTAAGATTAAATATTTAAAATCATTATTCTTCACAGTCATCATACAAATTTCTTATCAAAGGCAAAATTTATTATTTGGCTTTGTTAATGGACATTGGGCAAACATGTATGAACGCTGCACCCACGTCCACCACGGCTTAAAGTTTTCTTTAAAAGCTCATATAGTCATGATTACCTGTGCCAAAGAGCATCAAATTCCACCCTGGAGATCTTCAGTTATTTTAAATTACATAGTTATAAGTACTAAAAGAATTGAACATTAATGAAACATGGAAATTTTCATTGCAAATATTTTTAATGATCTTTTCTTACAATCTAGTGTCTAATAGAGAGCCGGCATAAGAATATTCTCTTCATGTGCCAGACTTAAAACCATATGACCACCATTACTGTGCGAGTGTATTTTTGCCCGAAAACAGGAAAAGACTCGAAATAACCATAGAAATGACTTACGACTTTATGTAATGAGTGGTGCTGCAAACTGATTTTTAAAAATAATTTATTGGTCAGGTCAATATCTGTCAAGACTACTTGTAATGATTATTTAACAAAAATTCACAATTTTTATTTACTTATAAATTAGCCTAAGATATGCTAGGGATTGAATTTTTTAATTGCGTAATTGAATTACTCCGAAACGACTCCACCGATTTTCGTGAAATTTTGTATGCATATTCAGTAATTCCGAGAATCAGACAACATCTATTTTTCATCCCCCTAAATGTTAAGGGTGGTCAACCCTTAATTTCTTTTTCTTTGGACAAATTTTTTATTGTTTTTATTCTTTTATGATACATCATACAAAAATACATACAGGCCTAAATTTTCACCCTTCTACCACCAACCCCTATTTTTTTATGGCGGTACGAAGTTCGCTGCGACAGCTAGTGCTTAAATATATAATACTTATAAATTGTTTTGTCCGTAGATACTCCGAAACTGGAAGGCCCACAAGAGCCCGAGCCCACTGTGTCCGATGTGACCGCAGACCCTTTACCCATCAGAGGCAAGCGGGGAAGACCTAGAAAGACCCCGGCCAAACCAGAGAAGAAGAAAGTCAAGGTGGAGACTACCAAAGCGAAGTCTTCGAAGGCGCTTGTCAAAGGTAGGGCTTGATTTTGTTTCTAGTCTCTTAATTCTTTGGAATCACAGTGTTGTTGCGTTAGTAATACGGTATGGTAGGTAATTTATTAATAATTTCAATAGTTTCCTCCTTCCTATAATCTGGGGTCTTTTAAGAGAGTCGTGAAGAAGCATTTTCGCAGGCCGGCAAGGTGAGAATGGTTGGTGTAGCAGTTTATAACTGCTGTATAGTGCGATTCAAATAAGAATAGGAAAGCCAATGACCTCGATCTGTCAAATGTCGCTTGAAAAGTACGGTTTGCAAAAAAAAAACTTGGAATCCTTTTTTAGCACTCGGCTAGTTCTAGAATAAAAACCAAATATTTGTAAACAAACAATGATGATTAATATTGGTTGATATTTTTTTTCATTAATTGAGCTTTGGCTATGATGGTTTACATAAAGGATACATGTTCATATGTGACCTAGTAATAGTGCATGATTAATCATAACTACTCTGGCGGTAATGCAGAGATGAGCGGAATTGAAGAGCTCAAGCTTGGTAAATAAATTTTATTAACAAATCTGGTGATCTTTTTTTGTTCACTCTACCTATTTGGTTTGAATTGACAGCTATGACGTCACAATATGGCGCCCAGTCGGTCCTATTCTTAGTTGAATCACCACTTAGTATCAGGGGAGCTAGTCATTTGCCTACCTGGCTATAAAAAAAAAATAAAGGAAAAGGTTTTATAACCAAGCTCAATATCATTATCATTTTCTTTAGTTTTATTAAACTGTTTTATTTTTATAAAATGTTAGAAAAACTATTCAAGATCTGTTTTAATACGACTAAATTATTGAAAGTATACTCTTCTGCCTCTTGAACTGTTTCAATCATTCCAACGGTTTTTTTTTTTATATGAAATGAATTATCATGATTATATTAACGTTGTAACAACATAATGATTTGTAAATGTTGTTACATTATACTTTTAATGTTGTGGAGTTTATTTCGCTCTTTTTTCTCCGCAGCTAAAAAATATGTCCAATAACAACTGGTATGGAGAAAAAACATTTTAGAAAATCTAATTTGAATAAAGAAATTTTGATTTTGACTCTACACTTTTTTTTTGCCGTGGGGAAACCCGTGACCCGTACCCCGCCGCCTGACAAGCGAGGTTATAAGCAAGTGGGACTTTCATTCGTGGACCCATCCAATCCGTTCGGTGAGTCCTTGGAGGCCTACCACTAAAAAGCCCATAGTTGAGAGTGGTACCCGAGAAATCGTTTCCGAGTCGTCGCGGGCCCTCCACAATCTCCGTAGAAAGGACCTTCTGGTCCTGTTATCATGCTAGAACTGTTTTTTAAGCTGGCGACTGCATAACGGGAGTTTAGTGGAGGATATAAGCAAGAGAAAGCAGTGCGCGCGCACATTTTCTTTCTCTTATAACTAGTGAATGAAATATGTATATATACATACAGATGGAGTTAAAGAAGTTTCACTTCAGTCGTGTGGTCATTAGCACACTCGTTTTTTTTGGTTTCCTCCCAGGCGGGGAAGCGGTTGTGAAATCCTTACGGATATCCTACAGCCAGCTGCAAGGTTATGTGAGCCTCTTACTGACTAAAGCACGCAGTAGATGCTTATGGCCAGAAGGACCTTACAAGCTATATCTGAAGCGATCATCTCTTGAGAGGGAGATGATACAGCGCTGCCATAGTTCAAACAACTGCATAGTGCACATCAGTGTGCACCCGTATCGCATTGAGACCATTCTACAACTAGTTAAGGTTTTCTTATATACAGCGAATGCATCACTTCGATTGCGCGATTCAGGCGCGCTCGCCGTCACTTACCTCCCGTTCTTTTAACGTTCACACCATTTGTTCTTCGCACTAGTCTCGCATTAAGTTTTGCTCTCAATCAAGCATGGAGGATTTAATGCCATTTATTTCTTCCTTTTTAGGGAGACGTTCCGAAATGAGTTTAAACAGGCAGACGGAACACGCCAGGGTTTTGAAAGACTGCTCTGTGCGAATAGACGCATCGTTCGAGCCGCAATTCGATTACAGAGTTTCTGATAAAGACTCGTGGGGAATCAACGGTCTTGAGAAGCGACAATTGTCCGCGACAACAAGTCAGACCTTGATTAAAGATTCTCCACCACAGACACTCGACAATCAAAAGCATAAACCTATGCGGACACTGCGATCGCACCGGAAACTCGAAAGACTCACTTCCCAAACTACGTCGAAGCCAAATCGCAGATTACAGAAACATTTGAGATTGAGCAACGTTGGGGCCAGAGTTAGCTTCGATTCTGATAACGAAGATACGGAAAGCATTGTTGATGATTCGCGTATATGTATACTGCGTCATATGAAATCAGCTATGAGACGAACAAGATTGGGAAAGATGACTTAATATTTTATAGTAATGGGCTATTTCACAGTATGAAAGATAAAGTACCAATTTTGGCATGTGTATTGAACATGAATATTGGGAGCAATTTCAAAATTTACACAAAAACTAGATCTATTGTCGCATGACCGAAAACGCCTAGGATTGGCGGAGCCTAAAATGACGTCACCTGCTTGTAAACATCCCGACGAAGTGACATTACCTAGTACGGTTTGACGTTTTAATGAGAGCCGTGTGATGTCACCTGCCTGTACGATGCCATATTTGCTGGAGAAACGTTCCTGTGGCATATTTAAAAACAGATGTTTTTAATTGTGTATTTTGCTGATATACGCAACAGAATTATAAGTATCCATTTATTGTGGAGTATAATAAATAATGTATGAACACTTTCAAAAACTTGAAATAGCCTGTTCTAAATATTATATTTGCTCCTCTTACAAATATTCAAGGAATACCCGGTTAAGCATCTTTCAAATAAAAAAAAATAGATTTTTAGAAATGTATAGACCTACCAAATTATTATATTAAATCGTTATGGGCTATTTAAACGATGTATTTTTTTTTATACCGCACAACACTTTGATTCCGAGGACTTGAAAAAATTATAATTTCTCTGTTATGTACTTACCGTACTTATAAATATCTTTTTAATGTTTCTATGTTTTTAACATATACAAAAAAATATTGTATATAAATATATAATATAATATCATCTAAATTTCACGGCACTGTCTGTAACAGAGTAATTATATATTTTTTTTAGATTTATTATACTAAACTATAGTTTGCATGCAATTATTATTTTTAAACTACTAAATTGCGTTACGATAACATAAATTTTAGAAATGTGAATTTAAAATGAAACATGTGTATATTATCCTTAAAACGTTAACAGAACCGTCCAAGATCATTAACCAAATTACATAAGGGAACGCTATACCGGGATCCCGCATAATATATTTTACGGGACTAATCTCGCTCTATAATTTTACGGGATCCCGCTGGACTGTCGGGATTACAGCCGCACGTGAGTTTTTGAAGAGAGTATGCTCTTAGTGCCCATAAAAAGCAAGTTGTATATTGTTTGAGGAAATAAAGCGACTTTTCCATTAAATAAATAAAATGTATTTCTCAACTTCCGTTACATTATTTGAATATATATATGTCTAATATTAAGGAGTTGAAGTTCAGCGACTCCCTGGCCAAGAAAACTCCGGTGTCTGTCTGTCCCTTTATATATTGATATACAGCACCATCTCGTCCCTTCCGGTGATAGCTTCCCCCAATTGATGAGAAATTGTTGCCAGATGGAGCACGCCTTTGTTCGCGCGTCGTTACTTCCGGTCGCTAGATGGAGCTATTTATGAACACAAGTGTTTCATTGGATTTCTCAATTTTTTTTTTTCTATATTTGACCTCGGTTTTTTCGATCAGGCATAAACTTTTAGTATTGATCGTAGGACTGTTATAAAGACATATGATATACACACCTTGATCTCAGACGACCATGTTGAGGACTTATCTTTATTATAAAATTCTATTTTCAATTTCTATCACAATTAAGACCATGAAAAAGAGGTTTATTATGTCTCAACTATAAATGAACTCTAGAGTTAAATCCACCCTTCTGGATTCCACAAATTGTTGGATCCAGCGGGATTGAGATGATCCAATCCCGCAAATGCCTAGATTGATATTAAGTTGCGGGATTGCATTCCCTAAATCACATTTTATACCATGTTGTGTCGTTCAGAGACGCCCTCCAGTTGAGCCGACCCCATCAGGTTTGAGTGCTCTAGAGGCTTCATACGGAGAGGAGACTCCCCCCGTGGGGAGATGTCATCCGCCTGGAATACCTTTAGCACTCGCCAATTCTCACTCGCAAATTTAAGGCCTGAGGACCCGCTAGGATCTCGCCGTTCCCGAACCCGGTGACGCTGTAAAGGTCATCTGCGACCAACAGCATACACACTCAAAAAAAAAAAATTGTTGTGAGGTTTTGTTGTGTGTGACAATAGAGCCCAAAATACACTTTGATCTTTGTTAGGGGATTGGCTCCCTGTAATACCATTTTTGCCAATAATTGATTATTATTTTATTATCGTGATCGATCGTCGAGCTAGGATGGTCATCGTCCATCTGATTTCAAGAACGCTTAAATACTTGATTTTGCTTTAATGGTGCAACGGACTTGAGAAAAAGGAAAATGTTTTTTTAACCTATACAACAATTACAGATTTCTTTAGTATAAAACTAGGACTTATTTAACTTCAAAACAATGTTGAAGGATCGCGTTTCTATTACTTCTCTAACTGAGCATCACATAGGTGTCGATTCTGGCATGATTCTCTAAACCTAAACTTAAATTGGCAACAGTGTATCCTTGCCATTCTCTATACAGAATCAACAGGAGAGACTGATCTTAAATTTAGTTTTAAGTTTAGAGAACCACGTCAGAATTGACACCAATGGTGTCAGAATCTGTCTCTCCTGTTCATTCTCTTTAATAGAATGACAAGGATACACTGTTGTCAAATTTAAGTTTAGCTTTAGAGACTCATGCCAGAATCGCCACCTATGTTTGTATTACCAGCCAGTCTAACAACTATTGCAAA